CTGCGGTACATAACCCTTTATCGAGATGACACTGACACTGTGCTAGAGAGGAGCTGGTACTAAGGCCAGAGTTGAAGAGGAAATATTCTTAGGAAAAGTACCAGAACAGCTAAATTCCTTATGACACGAAAAGACAATTGTCACAATAAACAACCTTAATAAGATCCATCGGATCTTTGGCCCATCATTCTAAATTGATTAATCATGTTGATGTTGAACATGAACCTTGAGACATGATTGCAGTGATGCAAGCTCGGTTTGTGTCCCCAAAACACACATTAAATAGCAGAAGGTCGTGAAGTTCATGAACAGGATGTTGAGGCAAATCACGCTTAAGCAAAGTGAAAGCCAAGAAAGCAAGAAGAGTTTCAATGTTCAAGTAATCTTCAAGTATTGTTGTGGCTGCATCTTGAAGATATTCAGAAAACCATGAAGCTCGTGCCAGTGCCCTCCAAACTTTGCAGAAAATTTGACTTTTGGGTTCTGTAGGGCGAGAAGCTTGATTACATGGTTGTTCGACCCTGCCATTTGATACTATAGTTGAAGGAACTTGCTGGTTCTCATTCTAGATTGGGGTCATCACGAGACAAAGGGAGAAAGAAAAAATTACAAAGGATAAAACCACAAGAAACAAAACGAGATGAGAGATAGATGTAAATCAAACTATCAGAACATCAAAGTAGACACCAAAGTAGACTACAAGATTTGAGATTGCTTACCAAGAATGGAACTCATGTCTAAAACTAATGTTGATTTGCATCTAAATTTTTACAATGTGTGTTTAGTTTTTATACTAAACTTAGGAGAGCTAATGGAAGAAGAGCAATGGCCGTTGCTGCGCCACTAGGTCATCACCATTCATTTCTTTGCACTCCACAGCTGCAGTGTCTCGCGCCATAATGTAGTGATAGTCGACTTCTTGGAGCTCCAGGTGATATTTCCTGCCTCGGATCAAATGAGTGATAGAATGAAGCTGTGGATTTGTTTGAGGAGCTCAAGGCGGGATTTAGAGCTCAAGCACTGGGAATTATTACTGTTTCAACACTGATATGTGAAGTAATCTGTTAAATCTTGTGCAGGGGTATCGAATAGTCTCTTCTTACTCAATGTTTTAGATTTTTCTGTAATTAATAGTTAACTAGTACTTTGCATACCCACAATTAACTAGTAGTTTGTATAGCCCACTTATATTTATATATCTTTACATATTCTTAATTTGATCCAAATGTGATCTCAAGTAATTTATGACAGTATTTGCTTATCATGGAAAGAGGAATAATCTTGGCCATCCTCTAGTGACCAGTAGAAGTTAGTGCCAAGATATAGACCACCAAGCAAGAGGCAAAAGACCTTATCACGAATCAAAAACTTCAAATTGTCTTACAAACTTAAACAACGTTTATACTATCAATAAAATAAATTTACCAATAAACCGTTCAGAGCCTTAAAAGAGAATATTCGTCTCTTGCGGCTTATAAGGAGAGCTATGTTCAGGTTAGCTCCACAGCCCCGAGAGTAGGGCTTTCTTCTACAGGGAGGGATTGAGGCAAGCGTCTTCGTCGCGGAAGAAGCAAGCGATTGCGCTGAGTGATAGCGCCGCCAAAAGCATACGGCATTTCCTAGACTTGTGGAACAAACATTACTTGCGCGTGGGATGCAATGGCTACTCCTACACCATGGACTACGCGGGCAAGCTAGGATACAATCAATCCTTTGCTTCTCTTCCTTTTCTTGCGAGATAGAAAAGACTTATGGCGAATGCTTCCTTCCTCTGGCAGATCAAGCGGAGCGCCACGACGAGCTCGTGGAGGACAACGGCGGTCGACCCGCGAGCGCTGATGAGAAAATCATCGGATTCATCGAAGATCGCATAATTGGGAGGATGGCACCGATCCATGGGAGGACGAGCTCTTCTACAACGAGCGGATCAATAATCTGTCCAAGAGAGTGACGAAAGAGCATATCGATGCGCTCAGGGCCAATGCCAACCCAGATCACATACGCATTCGTCAAGAGTGTTACATGAAGTTCTTCCTCCATTTCATTCTTCGAGAGAAAAGTTCCAGCTCCAATATAAGATCTCGAGAAGCTGATGCCGTTCGTTGTTGTGGATGCGTTCCTGGCAAGCTTTTGCCGCGTCTGCCAACCTTGGCTCTTATTACGCTGTTGGATTGGTCGTGGCTTACGTACTGGCCTTCGTTCACATGAACGGGAAAGGTGGGCCGAAAAGATACAGTGTTTCCTTGTCTGATTCACGTGATTTTTTCGTTTTCAGGGCCTGATCATTGGGATTCTGTGTGGCCTTTCGACGCAAGCGATCTCACTGCTCACTATTTCTGTAAGAACCAACTGGAACAAGCAGGCATACGGTGGTCATGAGTTTTTAGTCGGTGGTCATGGTTTTAATGTTTCCTATTTCTTTCACGCAGAGCGAATGCAACTGGTCACACCGTTACTGAGTTGATACCGAGTTAACATTCTGACCTGCATTTTTACTCGCTCACGGAAGTAGCAAATTCAAGAGAAGTCCTTTGAAAATCTATTATGATCTCACTATTGTCTGCAATGTCAAGATGAGGAGGAGAAAACTCATCGCATCCAGGTAGATTTTTTCTATATGCAACTTATAATCGACTCTTTCAATCTTGACTTTGCAGTGCTTTCACCGCAAAGCTCAAGTCCACCACCGAATTGAAGACACCACCTTTAGCAGATGGAAGATTGCTGAGCACTTGCAAAGGCCAGGAACCATCCTCGTTCTGCATCTTGAGCAGCAAGTCCACATCTATCGTGTTCCGGATTCCAAAACGCCTGCTGAGCAGAATCCTTTTGGCAACCTCGAGTGGCTTCGACTCGGTCTCGTTCCTGATCCGGTTGACGAGCACCGCCTCCATCGCTCGATAGACAAGATCAAAGTCGGGAATCTCCCTTCTCTCCAAACGTCGCGAGAACCCGGCCATACATGAACAAGAAGTCCTCCTGGCTGAGGTAATCGCGAGTCCCGATATCCGCCGCTTAACAGATATCTCTGGATCAGATTCTCGTTGTGGCGGACAACCGGGTGATCTTCCATGGAGAGCGCATAGGCGAGATAGACAGCGTTGGCTATGACGACCGGATCCACGCGAGGCCTCCACGTCCAGGTACGTGAGAAGCTGGTTTTGATCGTTGACGTTCTCGAGACAAATCTCCAGAAAGTGCATAGCTTGCGCGGAGGTGACGAGACTAAGATCAAAAAGTGTGGAGACACAAGTCGACATGGTGTCGATGTCCGGCGGATATCGCGAGACGTCGTCACCGGAAGGGATGGCCGCGCTCGATCAGTACCTGGAGAGATTTCATCCAGCCGAGAGGAATGATCTCTGGAAGGCACCAGGCCGCCACGCAGGGAAAGAAGATCTCGGAGACAAGCTCCTGCCGGCCGTTGTCAAGCAGGTAGAGTGATTTGAGCTGCTTGGATCTCACCTCCTCCTTGACTCGATCCATCCCCAGCTTCACAGCTCGAGGCAGCAGGAACCGACGCTTCAAGAAGTCCTGGCAAGCTTTCTTGTTGGGCGAGGCATACGGGAGAGCGAGCAAGCTCTCGAAGGCATGTAGCGCGGCCATCTCCACGCTTTTATCGACAATCACAGCATGGGACCTTATATCTCCAAGGAGGGAATCTAGATCGCGGGAGATTGTAGCGAAGTTCTTCCAGAGCGACACGGTCCCACTCTTGTGGACGAATATCTATCCATCCGAGGAGCTGCCGCCTCGTTGACTGGAGCAGTGACAGTAGCTCCTCGTCTACCTCGCAGCTGGAAGCGGCCTCGAGCAGCATGGATGGCTCCTTGAGCTTGAATTTGCGCAAGATTGTCGAGATTGCGGCAGTGCGATCGATCTCCCCGAAAGTATAGGCCAAGAAGGAGGAGTGCCTGCGGAGAAGATCTCCCTTGTCTCCACATCCAAGCAAGCAAAGCTAATAATCACCTTCTTAGCTGATCACCAATTTATAGTCTAAAGCGTTGTTAAGAAGAATTTTACTTCTTAATTTGTTTTAGTCAACACTACAGTGGTGGATGCTCGCTTTTAATATGGTTTCAAGCTATACATGGTTTGGACATTGAGAATAAGGGGTATTTGTTTCGCTGACAAAATTGTTTAACATTTCACCACTATCCATCCCATGACTTACACAGTTCAAGCTTGCTTCTGAATCATGAGCTTTTACCTAGAGAACAAGTTATCTACCACTGAACGAGGCACGCATTGGCAGCTGAAAGTATTCAGTACAATACCGAAGTCCATAGAGATGATCAATATTCTACAGACGTCAGCTAGAAAGTGTGTTTGCTAGGTAATGGTTGATGTGTTCATCCCACAAAAACAACTGTGAGAGATATTTGGCTCGAGAGAGATGCTGCAACTTCCCAGTTCCTCGCTCCGACTGAGTAGGTTAACATTTTGCCACATTTTGTTTTTTGGAAATGTTAGGATATTCAAGCATATCCACTGTCCTAAGCAAATGTTTAATATAATTTATAAACATTCTTTCCGGATTCTCATAGCTGCTTGGAGGCAACCACTGTCTTGGTCATGGCTTCGTGTTGACATCCGGCGAGAAAAGAATGTTTATAGATTAAGAATTAAAGACCATTTAAAGAACAGTCTTAAAGAATCATTCTCGCCGCACGAAGCCATGACCGAGACAGTGCTTGCTTCCAAGCAGGCGACTCTGCCAGCATCTTGTGGAACATAGACTTGGCATCCCAGGAGATCATTGCATAATCAAAGTTTATACCGACTCACAAGACCCAAGCAGCAGTTCACAAAGAACCACACGAAGAAATAGAAAAAGAAATCGCGCTGGAACAACAAATGCTGCTTCCTGGCTGCTTGCAGCAGCCAAAAGAATATTATTATTTAGATTTTGAATTGGTATAATATAATATTGTACCTGACATATTCGAAAACTTTTTCTATCTTTTCTAGAGGTAGCCCTAAAAAGGAATATTCGTCTGATGCGGAGGCTGAAGCGAGAGAGCCGACTCGCTGGGAAGACACCGCAGGTAATGACAGTGCATCCCGGAAGAAGCAAGCGATTGCGCTAAGAACTCCTACGTTATTGGCAAGCTAGGATACAACCAATCCTTTGCTTCTCTTCCTTTTCTTGCGAGATAGAGAAAGACTTATGGCAAATGCTTCCTTCCTCTGGCAGATCAAGCGGAGCGCCACGACGAGGTTTTATCGACCCGCGAGCGCTGATGACAATCATCGGCACAAAGATGGGTTTCATCTGAAGATCGTCTCAAGTAAGTTTAAAGTTCTTCCTGTCCAAAAAGACACTGTGTTTCCTTGTCTGACTCACGTGATATTTTCGCTTTCAGGGCCTGACCATTGGGGTGCTAACGTGCTTGTTTTCACTATTGTCATGTCAAGATGAGGAGGAGAAAACTTATCGCATCCAGGTAGATTTTTTCTATATGCAACTTATAATCGACTCTTTCAATCTTGACTTTGCAGTGCTCTCACCGCAAAGCTCAAGTCCACCACCGAATTGAAGACACCACCTTTAGCAGATGGAAGATTGCTGAGCACTTGCAAGGGCCAGGAACCATCCTCGTTCTGCATCTTGAGGAGCAAGTCCACATCTATCGTGTTCCGGATTCCAAAGTACCTGCTGAGCAGAATCCTTTTGGCAACGTCCAGTGGCTTCGACTCGGTCTCGTTCCCGATCCGGTTGACGAGAGCCGCCTCCATCGCTTGATACACGAGATCAAAGTTGGGAATCTCCCTCTTCTCTCCAAACGTCGCGAGGACCCGGCCATACATGAACAAGAAGTCCTCCTGGCTGAGGTAATAGCGAGTCCCGTATACGAATCCGCCGCTTAACAGATATCTCTGGATCAGATTCTCGTTGTGGCGGACAACCGGGTGATCTTCCATGGAGAGCGCATAGGCGAAATAGACAACGTTGGCTATGACGACCGGATCCACTCGAGGCCGCTCCAAGTCCAGGTACGTGAGAAGCTGGTTTTGATCGTTGACGTTCTCGAGACAAATCTCCAGAAAGTGCATAGCTTGCGCGGAGGTGACGAGGCTAAGATCAAAAAGTGTGGAGACACAAGTCGACATGGTGTCGATGTCCGGCGGATAGCGCGAGACGTCGGCACCGAAGTAACCGAAGGGATGGCCGCGCTCGATCAGTACCTGGAGAGATTCCATCCAGCCGAGAGGAATGATCTCAGGAAGGCACCAGGCCGCCACGCAGGGAAAGAAGATCTCGGAGACGAGCTCCTGCCGGCCGTTGTCAAGCAGGTAGAGTGATTTGAGCTGCTTGGATCTCACCTCCTCCTTGACTCGATCCATCCCCAGCTTCACAGCTCGAGGCAGCAGGAACCGACGCTTCAAGAAGTCCTGGCAAGCTTTCTTGTTGGGCGAGGCATACGGGAGAGCGAGCAAGCTCTCGAAGGCATGTAGCGCGGCCATCTCCACGCTTTTATCGACAATCACAGCATGGAACCTGATATCTCCAAGGAGGGAATCTAGATCGCGGGAGATTGTAGCGAAGTTCTTCCAGAGCGACCACGGGAAGAGGTTGTAAACTCGCTCCCACTCTTGTGGAGGAATATCAATCCATCCCAGGAGCTGCTGCCTCGTTGACTGGAGCAGTGACAGTAGCTCCTCGTCCACCTCGCAGCTGGAAGCGGCCTCGAGCAGCATGGAATCCAGGAGAGCTGGCTCCTTGAGCTTGAATTTGCGCGAGATTGTCGAGATTGCGGCAGCGCGATCGAGCTCCCCGCAAGAATAGGCCAAGAAGGAGGAGTGCTGGAGAGCCCTGCGGAGGAGATCTCCCCGGGGGCCACTGTCTCCACATCCGAACTTAAGCAAGCAAGCAAAACTAATGATTATCATCTTCTCAGCTGATCACTTCATGCTATGCAAATTTATAAAGTCTATGACTGAAATTAATTATTTAATCAAAGTCTCATGCACCGAAGGTGTAAAGGTAATTGCCTGTGTAAGTGGGAGGAGTTTGACAATGTTTTGGATTATAACATTGGAATTTTTCTCCGCTTCTTGCTTTTTAAACGGTTCATAATTTCTTGTCAACAAAAGGAGTCATTAAAAATAAAGTTTCTCCCTACAGTCACGGAACTCACTGCCACACATTGCGCTGTCGGTGGAAGGTCACTTTTGGAACGTTAGATCGGGGACCTCAGTTCATCTCTCATTTCTGGCAATAGTTTTTGCAGCTATTTGGAGTGAAGGCCAACCTCGCGCGTTTTGGTGCTGTGGAGCTGTTTAGACTTGCCATCTTGAAAACAAGTTGTCTGCCACAACGAGGCATGCATTGGCAGCTGCATACAGTAGCAAAAACCATAAAAATTAGAGAAGCAGGTAATGGTTGATCAGTGTGTTTCTGTGGCCCATCCAAAAACACGATGCTTTTGAGTGTGTTCCCTTTAAGAGTTTTTAGTGTTGTGGAATATCTTTATTTTAAATTTTATTTTTATAAATCTTAAAATAAAATTATAAAACTTAGTTTGTGAGTGCTTAGGATATGGAATGGATGGATTAGATTTAGTCCCAAATGAACGATTTATATGCTATAGTACTAATTACCAAGTATTACCTAGTTAGGTTTATATATATATATATATATTTTACACCATCCTCCTATTTGGAAGATGAAAAGGTGATAACAATAAATTAGATGGAACAAAGTTGTGCAATTGTAAATTACTATAAAATTTTGAAACTCCCACAAAACTGCTAACAAAGTTGCTAATAACCATGATTGAAATAAAACCCAAAACCATGGCGTAAACATCAATTGATTACAAAATCCCAATAAACCAATTATAACTTCATGTGCACTTGCCAAATGCTTAATCTAACCTCAAAGTTATAATTTTAAACCAAAGTAAAAAATTTTGAGAACCACTATAGTCTATGAAATGTTATTGCAACAAATAATATATCCCACATTTAAGTTTGCTAACCAATAATCCTTCGAGACCATTGTGAGTAAGACTTATGACCATAAGTAGAATTTGACTTTGCATCTTCCTTTCAATCAACATCCAAGGATTATATTAACTTAAACTTATGACCTTTATATTTGTTTAGCACTGCACATGGGAGGTTGTATTCACTCCATTTATCTTTGACATCCTCTTTATCCCTTTAAAGGAAAAAAATGTTTTGAAACACTAGCTCCATTTAGACTCACTACATTCATTCTCACCTTATTATTTATATTTGACTTCACTTCACTATTGATTTTGTTTAGTCTCATTATATCAAAGTTGAATATTCCATTCAAACTCACTATGTTTGTCCTCATTCCACAATCCATATTATTTGTCTTTGCTCAATTACTGTATTTGTTTGTCCTCACTCTATTGTTGAGGCCAAACTCCCATCCATCCCCTCTACCCCCTCCTTCGAAAAAAATAAAATTGGAAAAGGAATTTATAGCAGCTAGCAATGTAGAAGTAAGGAAATCAAAAGAAAGACATGTATTCAAAACTTAGAAAATAAAAACTTTTTATTATAAATTACTTTGGCAAGCATAATATAAGCAAAATATTCATATCGCTCAACCTCGTCAACACATAATTCAACACTTGAGATAGGAAAATTAATAATAATATACATAAACTCTTCAACAGTAACAATAAAACAAAGGCTCTCAATAGCACTAACAAGTAGGAACACAATTTAAAATTCTTGCTAAAGTGACTCAACTGTTGGAATATAAAAATATTTAACACTAGAATTGATCAAAGACTCTGCTAACAAAAGTACAACTTCATGTACATACTTAACATCCAAATTAGTATAAGGAAGACATAAAACACTCAATTCAATATTGGGTTGAGAATGAAAATCATGAAAGTCACAAATAATCACCATGCTATGAAAAGAAAACACTACAGAGGAGGAAGAAATACTAAGAATATAAAAAGTTGGCTCAAGCCGAGAAATAAAAAAAATGTTGAAAAAGAACTGAAAGTAAAGAGAAAAGATCAGATGACAAATTTAAGGATTGATACTACCTTCTGAAATCTCCACTATCAAAGCTATCTTTATAATAATCAAGCTTGTCAAAATGATCTAGAATCCATTTGAGTTACACGAGTAACTTTGGTAGAGAGTCATTCGGGACATCTACTAACCCTTTAAAGGAAGCTCAGAAGTAACTTTGTTAAGATTTTTATTGACATAGGTGTTTCAGATAATTTTGTGGTTATAAACATAGTCCGGCAAGCTAAACTAATAGTGCAGTAGTTGGGTGAACAAAGGATTATAGAGTTTGTTCAAGATATATATTATCTTCCCATAAACTTGATTTTTAAACATTCTCCAAGAATTGGGTTACATTATTTATAACTTGCCAATTGATATGACAATCATGCTTCATATCAATGAGAGATAGCAAAACACCAAGAACAGAATAAATCATATGATCACATCTTATGAAAGTTGGAGACATTAACACACTAAAGATGGTATAACACCAATATAATCACACCCTATAGTACCAAAAAATTTAATCTAACAAGCAGCATTAATAGCATCAAGTGATATATTCCTTGATCAATCATGGCGTGACATGGTAGAAAAAAAGAATGCAATGATGGTCAAAAGAAAGAGTAGATCTAAGTATAGTGATAACTAGAGTTCTAGATCTTGCAAAAGTTAATACAAATTTAGATATAAAAAAGAATGAAGAAATAAAAAAAAAAGTATAATCCCAAACACTAAAGCAAAATATTGCCAAAAAAATTTTACCCTTTAGAAATAAATTGCAATACCCCTCATCTTCACTAATGTGAATGCTCAAGATATGGGAATAAATATATTAATTAGTGCTTATATACAAGAATTGATGGATTAGATTCAGTCTTAAATGGACAGTCTATATACTATAGTACTATAATTAATGTATTACCTAGCTAGTGTAATACATATATATACATACATATATTTACAAACTTTACAAGTTTAATTTTTTTTATGTTCTTTCTTTACCATTGTTTGTAGCTTTCAACCAATTTCTAGAGCAATTATAAATCTTGGTGAGCTTAGTTGTTTGCTCTCAAGATTAAGCCCTTGCAGCAAGTAATGACAAAGTTCAAACACATTCATTATTTAGTTGTTGAAGTATAAATCCCTAATCTTCATTGATAAATGTGAAAAGACCTTTGAGCTGTCCTCTTGCCACTACACAAGAAGCCCCTGATTCACATTGATCCATTTTAAGGCAAAATGCCATAAAATATAAGCCCACTAAATGGTTATTAGATTAACCACCACAAAACCATGTGAGAGTTCATATTTGGGATTGAATTGTTTAGGGTTTAAGTTGAAAAAATGAAGATTAATTCATTATAGATAATATAGGTATATTCAATGCTATCCAATATATGACCCAAGCATATTCCTCAATTGTAATCCAGATTAAAACATGTAGTTAGCAATAAAAGGGAATATTCGTCTCCTAGGGTTAGTGCGATTTTAGGGCTTGTGGGCGCGAGGGCGAGGATGATGCGGAGGCTATGTTCAGGTTAGCTCCACAACTCCCTTGAAATCTTGTGACCGATTCGACGTAGGAGAAGCGAGAGAGCGGCGATCTCGCGCTTGTGACTCACTGGGAAGGGCTTTCTTCTACAGCGCAGGTCAGGAATGGCAGCAGCGTGCGCCGCCAGGGAGGGATTGAGGCAAGCCTCCTCGTCCCGGAAGAAGCAAGCGATTGCGCTGAGCGACAGCGCGGCCAAGAGGATCCGGCAATTGCTAGACTTGCGGAACAAAGATTACTTGCGCGTGGGTGTCAAGGTCCGGGGATGCAATGGCTACTCCTACACCATGAACTACGCAGGCAAGCCTCAGTCCTTTGCTTCTCTTCCTTTTCTTGCGAGAGAGAGAAAAGCTTATCTTCCTCTTGCAGATCAAGCCGAGCGCCACGATGAGCTCGTGGAGGACAAAGGCGTCAAGGTTTTGATCGACCCGCGAGCGCTGATGAAGATCATCGGCACCAAGATGGATTTCATCGAAGATCGTCTCAAGTAAGTTTGAAGTTCTTCCTGGACGAGAGAAAAGTTCCAAAGTTGTCAAGAAATCCCAGCTCCAATTCTGAGATCTCTCAATCCTCGCAGGTCGGAATTCGTGTTTCTAAATCCCAACGCTACCGGCACTTGCGGCTGCGGTGAATCCTTCACGGCAAAGGAGAAGTAAAAAAACGAGAAAAAAGACAATAACCGGACTGCGGCGCAGTTAAACTTTTTCTCTGTAAAGCAGGCTTAAAAATAGAGTAATCCGGATAAGAGCGGATAATAAATCTGGATAATGGCGCCGTACGTGCGCCGTACGAATTTGTGACCACCGGCTAAGTTTGGGACGACGGCCCAATGTTTAAGGCAGTCAAGTCCGGGGATTGAGGGGCGGGTTTCCATGAGGTGGAAGCTTCTCTCCTCTCATTCGTTTCTTCCTCTCTAGGTTTTTCTTCCTCCTCGCGCGCACGGCGCTGGCGTCATGCCGCGCGATCCCCACTCCTCGTCGTCACGCTAGATCGCATCGATTAGCCCTGACTTGACCGCCACCGCATCGATTCTTGCCTTGTTCTTGGCGCCGCCGCGTTTGATCGATCACGAGGTGAGCTGCGCGATGCTTTTCTTGCCCCGCAATGCCGAAATCTGTGGAAATCTGTGCCTGATTTTAGGTTTGTATGGTATTTCTTGCCGCCAGGGACTGGGGGGAGGAGCTCGTGACAGGGCGGGAGTGGAGGACGAGGAATATCGCCGGCCGGGATTGGAATTGTGGATAGATTGCGACGCTATCGATACCGGGGGATGGGAAAAGCTGCGGTGACGATCACAATTGCCTGCGCGGCTGCGACATGCGCGGCCGTGGCGGCGGCATTCTTCGTCAACAGGCGCTTGCGGCAGCGGACGAGCTGGAAGAGGGCGCAATGCATCGTCGACGAGTTCCGCGGCGGCTGCTCCACCCCGCTCTCGCGGCTGCGGCAGATTGTCGATAACATGGTCGTGGAGATGCATGCCGGGCTTGCGATCGATGGCGGCAGCAAGCTCAAAATGGTTCTAAGCTATGTGGACAATCTCCCGACTGGGTACGTAGTTCGTTTGTCCTTTGCTCGGGCCTAGATATCTCTCGTTTTGTTTTTTTTATCGATTTCGCTTTATGGCTTCCCCAGGAACGAGGAAGGCCTGTTCTACGCGCTCGACTTGGGAGGGACGAACTTCCGGGTGCTCAGAGTACAAATGGGTGGCAAGGAGAAGAGAATCATGAACCAGGAGTACAAGGAAGTGTCCATACCTCCCAAAGTTATGGTCGGCTCCAACGAGGTACTTCATGCGGTTTGCTTTGCTTGGGGGGTTTGGTGTAAAATTGCCATGCATGCATGGTGTTTCGCAGGATTTATTTGATTTTATTGCCACAGAGCTAGCAAGCTTCGTTGCCAGCGAAGGGGAGGGCTTCTTTCTGCTTCCAGGACAGCAGCGGGAGCTGGGATTTACGTTCTCGTTTCCCGTGAAGCAAACGTCAATCAACTCCGGGACGCTCATGAAGTGGACGAAAGGTTTCGCCATCGCAGAGACGGTTAGTGTCTTGTGAAAACGTTCCAAGTTTTAATGTCGGGATCGCGTAGGTTGGCAAAGACGTTGTCGAGGAATTGCAGGGGGCAATGCATCGTAGCAACGTAGACATGCGAGTTGCGGCTCTGGTAAGTCTCCTCGAGTACTCTTCCCTTACGAAAGCGTTTAATCTCTTGAAAATAGGTGAACGATACTGTGGGAACGTTGGCCGGGGGAAGATACGAGGACGATGACGTTATGGTAGCGGTAATACTGGGCACCGGAAGTAATGCCTGTTACGTGGAGCGAGCGGACGCGATACCAAAGTGGCGAGGCCCGTTACCAGCCTCTGGATCCATGGTAATCATTATTTACTCACTCTTGCAAACGTTCAAGACTCTTTAACAGGTCATCAATATGGAGTGGGGAAGTTTCACGTCGGCCCACCTTCCAAAGACTGAGGTTGATGACGCCTTGGATGCCGACAGCGTCAACCCATGCGATCAGGTAAGCTTGAAAATGACCACAAAAACAATTCCTACCCTACCCTACCTGTGTTGGACTGTAGATATTCGAGAAGATGATATCTGGAATGTACCTGGGTGACATTGTGAGGAGAGTGTTGTGGAAACTGGCTGCCGAAGCGGCATTCTTTGGAGGAAAGGTACCTTCAAGGCTCGAAGTCCCTTTTATTTTGAGGTAACCTCTTCTTTGCATGAAGTTTTGGCTGCTTACTAATCTATTGTTGCAGGACTCCGGATGTGTCTGCAATCCACGCCGATCAATCCCCGGACCTCAAGGAAGTAATCCGGGTTTTGAGAGTGGTTTTCGGGGTAAGTCCTGGTTTCTTTGTGCGGCTGCTGGATAGTAAAATCTCCCCAATCTTTGTTTCCTTTCCAGATCCAAAGCTCGACGTTGCAGATGCGGAAGGTGATCATGGATGTGTGTGACATCGTCGCAGAGCGTGGCGCCCGGCTGGCAGGCGCCGGGATTGTCGGTATCCTAAAGAAGATAGGGAGGGACGGTGGATCCTTGGCAAACAATGGCGGGTTGGAGAACCACTCGTACGCGGCGACGGAGGAAAGGAAGAAGACGGTGGTGGCGATGGATGGTGGTTTGTACGAGCACTATCCCAAGTTCCGGGAGTATCTCAAGCAGTCAGTGGTGGAGCTGATTGGCAAGGAGGCGGCAGAGCACATAGAGTTGAGGCTATCCAAGGATGGGTCTGGGATTGGAGCTACGTTGTTGGCTGCGTCCCATTCTTCGTTCGTCGCGGAACAGGAGTAGAATGAGGAGAGAATGAAATAAAAGGAGGGGGGAGTGCGCGGACGAAGAGAGGCAAGTTTGCCGCGATAATGCTGATAAATATACCCAGATTGTGGTGTATGCGTTAGCAAGGATCCTTCTCTGGTTTAACCGTAAATCTCCAGGTACAAGGTTATAATATAAAAGTTTTTGATATCTGTTAGTAAGTGCATTATGCAAAGATTACTTCAATCCAAAACTAGAAAGCATTGTCAATCAGAGAAACGACAAAGACCCAAAGATGGTTTCTGATTTGGAAACCCTTCACGTTCGCATTTTTCTTGTTCTTGTTCACAAATTTCCTGTATGTGGCTTATGATCTGTTCTGACAATGGAGCGTGATAAGCTTTGAAGTTGATGTTGAAGAATTGAAGAAATGTACACCGAAGGATGTCTGGGAGAAGGACTTAGACTAGTGCTCCTCAGTTACATCCACAGGCTCAAAAGAGATAGAGGAAGAAAAGGAAGACGAGCGCCAAAGAAGGTGCTGTTATATTCAAGCTCGCTGCTTCTGGCCGAAAGCCTGCTGCGAAGGCAAAAACTGCAGACAAGGACAATGCTGTGAAGCTTACCAAAAGTATCATCCTGCAGAAGCAACTGCCGCGACGAAAGTTTCGAATGCTTCCAGGAAGGCAGCTAAACCAGTGTTTTTGTTATTGGTAGGAACAGGATAGCAGGGCAGAATGCTTCAACACAAGCTTACAGGATCGCTTTGCTGCTTACGCGAAAGGAAAATGACCACTAACAGGTAATATGGCTTGTTTTCTCTTTCCCTGGGGTTAATAAGTCGCTAAGCCTGAAATAAGACTTATGGAGGTTGTAAATAAGACTCCTTTAAGTGTTTGGAGGTGGGCAATGCACTTAAACATTCTGTTCTCCAGAGGACAACTCCATGGAAGACGCTGTCAAGGAAGTGTTGCCGCCAACAAAGCCTAATGCTCCTAAAGCTGCTCAGGTCGCAAAGAATACCAAACCCTCCAAAGCATCAAAGCCACTGGAGATGTTGTGGCCCATGTCTCCCCGGTAAGGAAGGTGCGGGCTTCTCCAATTCAACAAGAAGAGTGGTTCCGTCATTCCAGCTCTCCATTGAGGCAGAGAGCCGAAGAGATGAGCGGCTCGCCCAGCTGTGGACTACATTGAGAGCAACACGGAGGAAGACAAGGCCAGACATCTCCCAAAGTGGTTTTCTTATTCTGTTCGTTGCTAACGAGTTGCTCTTAACTTTCTTTGTTAAGGTGGAAGAAAGGTTGTAATGAATTTATAGTATGTTTTGTATACGTATCTTTCTCTCAAGAAACATGAACCCTAAACTACAGAAATGTCTCACTTAGGGCTAGTTAACAATCAACGAGGGTTTTAGCTAATGGCTATGGGGACCGTCTTGGAGAGCTTCTACGGGGTTTTGGATTTCGCGCTGTGGAGGATGGACTATAGGATCAAACGCCTGCTCAGGTATGCCTGTAAGGAAGCACGTCTCAGGCCGATCAATGCCGTAACAGCACTGGCACCCAAGCCACTGGTGTTTTTCGAAGGCCAGATCGAGGAACTGAGTTACGAGGGCTATGCAGAGCCCAATCTCACCTACAACAATTTTCGCCACTGGACTTTAACGGGTGTCCCGGACCTGGACGCCATCCGCCAAGAGGTGAAGCAGCAGCGCCAATACTACCATTACTATCAGCGCTATCCTCCATGGCCCACGTTCGTCGAGCACGCAAAGAGTTTGATCTGCCATCCTTGGCCCTCCAACCCCATTCTTGGCCCGGGGGCTATAGAGCTTTGCGACCAGTTCGCGTCGTGGGCGGAAATGGATCTGTTCGGCAGAGTTGAGGATGAGGAGTTGCATGCGCGGCTGCTGCTGGACGCGCGGATGCTTGTGCACAAGTGGCCAGAGTTCGTCATGATACACTTGACGCCGTTTCATCTTCTCGTGGATCCAGACAAGCTTGAGGGGGAGGATGTTGCTGTGCCGTCGGAAAACTATTTCAGCGAAGACTGCGAGGACTATGTAAGGGCTCTGCGAGAGGCAAAACAAGTTGCGGCAAATGGCGGCTTTTTAGGGTCTGACTTCTACTGGCCGCCATCAGGTGCCTTGGATTTGTTCAACTTCGAGGTGGGGCATCTTGAAAGCTTAGTAGAGTCTTACCGATTAGGATTAAGGTATGTAATGTGTTTTTGATTTTCAGTTTCTTTTTTCCCACCTTTTTCCAATGTTTACAGGACCCAACAAAGCCAACGAATACAACCTCGCTAGAGAACTTGAGTTACTTTGGTTTTCGTTTCCAATCCTCTTTTTGAGAATTGAATGTGATAAATTAGTACATGAAAAACTACTTCCTATGCAAATAATAAGGATTTATAAAAACTTTTAGTAATTATTTTTATATCAATGACAGATTGTATCTTAAGTTTGTGGAGCTGCATTTCTAAATTCAGGCCTTTCAGCTTAAGAAAAAATTAGGCCATTCAGCTTAAGAAAAAATTTGATGTGTAGAGGAGCCTTTTACACAAGAAAAAGGTGAAAAACATTATATGATCAATGACATGAAACAATTGTCTGGAACAAAACAATGCAGATATTACACAATCCATACGAGTCACAGTACCATGACACGACCTTTCTTCTGGAGCCTCCACCTTAACATAGAAAGTTAAAGAGCAGTACAGCAAACTCGTTAGCACCAAACGAGCAGAATGAGAAAACCGGGGAGGGGGAACCAGACTTTACTCTGATCCTTCGTCCTCAAAGTCGGAGATGTCTTCGCTTGCGGCCTTGTCTTCCTCCGTGTCGCTCTCGATGTAGTGCACAGCCGGGCGAGCCGCTCGTCTCTTCGGCCTTGCTTGAGGAGCTGCTTCGACGTCGGAGTCGGCCTCTGCCTCGATGGACAGCTTTGCAAGCTGAGGAATGACGGAACCACTCTTCTTGTTGAATGGAGAAGCCCGCACCTTCCTTACTTTCGCATCAGGGGAGTCGTGGGCCGCAACATCTTCAGTGGCTTTTGATGCTTTGGAGGCTTTGGTATTCGCGCGCTTCTTTGCGACCGGAGCAGCTTTAGGAGCATTATGCTTTGTTGGCGGGGACACTTCCTTGACAGCGTCCTCCATGGAGTTGTCCTCTGGGGAACAGAATGTTTAAGTGCATTGCCAGGGAAAGAGAAAACAAAACATATTACCTGTTAGCGGTCCTTTTCCTTTCGCGTAAGCAGCAAGGCGATCCTGTAAGCTTGTGTTGAAGTATTCTTCCTCGCTGTCCAGTTCCTACCAATAACAAAAAACATTAAAGAAGGAAAAGAGCATTCTCGTGTCATACCACTGGTTTAGCTGCCTTCTTGGAAGCATTCGAAGCTTTCGTCGAGGCAGTCGCTTCTGCAGGATGATATTTTCAAGTTAGATTTCGCGCGTTCAATGACGGACTTACTTTTGGTAGGCTTCACGGCATTTTCCTTGTCTGCAGTTTTTGCCTTCGCAGCAGGCTTTCGGCCAGCAGCAGCGCGCTTGAATATAGCAGCACCTTCTTTGGCCATTTGCTTAAGTTCAAGCTCGTCTTCCTTTTCTTCCTCCATCTCTTGAGCCTGTGGATGCAACTGATGAGCGTTTGCAACGAGGTGATTATAGCGTCATACCGTCAGTTGTTCGAGGAAGTTATCTAAGTCCTTCTCCCAGAGATCCTTCGGTGTACATTTCTTCAATTCTTCAACATCACCTTCAAGCTTATCACGCTCGTTGCAGAGCTGCTGAACCTTCTCTAGAGTGAGCGTGCCAATTGGCATAGATAGAAGATACTCGTAATCACCAGCACGAACTCCTTTATTCAGCTTTTCTTCGTCATCCGCTTCCACGTCAGAACCATCACCACCGACAACAGGCAAGTCCGAAGCTTTTGCCTTCTTAGGGAACGGAGTAAAGCCTTTGGTCTTTAGCTCGACTAGTAACTCGGCTCGCTTCCTGTTGTTTACAACAATTTCGCCTTTGACAACACCGAGAATAAATCGGACTTTGTTGTCAAGCTTCAGTAGCTCGTATTGCAAATTCTCAACTTGCACTTCCTACAAAAGCTCGTCAATACACGATTACAAAGTTAAAAAATATAAAAACCTTTCTTTTGACGTACAACTCCAAACGAATATGGTAGAAGTCTTCAAGAACTGTATCTTATGTCAAGGAAAAAGCAAATGCTAGAAACCATGCATGCCAAAAGGATACTTTGTTCGGGCGTGTCATACTTTCGAATATGCCCGTCCTTATCAAAAAGATTCATGTTACTGGTGCTGATAGTGGTACTCAGCTTGAACTTTTTCGTGAGACCCTCTGCAAGAGCTTCAGCCATTTTTTCCTCGGATAAAGAAATTTCAAAGTGCACTCGCGTATCAGTGTTATGCTCCCTGTAGTCCTGAATGTTGAAAGCAAAACGTTAAAATACACTCGCGGGAGTTGAATGAGAGCATCACCTTAATAGAGGGTTCTTTGATTTTCTCTGTGCCACAAAGCAACGCTTCAAGAAACTCCTTATAGTCTTGAGTCCACTTTCTAATGGGAAGCTCTAGCACACGTATAGTAGTCTCGTTGACTTGCTCTACGATGCCAGTCACTGTATAGCTGACACCAGATTCTTTGCTTGCCGATTTCACTATCGTCCCCTGCACAAGAGGAAAAATGTAAGCACCACACGGTATTCTGCTGACGAAGACGACCTTAAACCCCTTGTACCACGGATCCATTGGCTCCAGCGGCTCATCGCGCAAAAGATGCTTAAGGTTGGTAACGATATCTCGAGGATTGTAATTTGGCACGAAAGTGCTCCACCCAGTGCCAATGCCTTCAGAGCCGTTGACAAGCACCATAGGAAGAATTGGTGCATACCTTTACAATTGATAGAAAATCTCAGCAAAATATTTCAAAAGTCTAAAGAACTACGTACCAGAAGGGCTCGATCGACTGTCCATCCTCTCTCAGAAAATTCAGTAAAATGTCATCTGGTTTAGGAAATATAGTACGTGTTAACGGAGTTAGAGACGTATAGATGTAACGCGCACTGGCATGGTCCTTTCCGCCCTGGATATGCATGCTTTCAATCAGTGCCAAACAAGAGAAAATAGGATTACCTGACTCCTTGTACCGAACTGTCCAATCGGAGCAAGGATATTGATGTTATTGCTACCGACGAAATTCTGAGCCATTCCTATGATAGTACTCGCGAGACTTTGTTCTCCATGGTGATAAGCAGAATGCTCGGAGACATATCCAGAAAATTGCGCTACCTGCAAATATAAGGCAAAAGAATGCATTACATCTTGAAACTAAATCATAACTTACCTTAGCTTGCGACGTAAAATTTCTTTTGAATGCAGCAAACAGAATCTTGCGCTGTCCGGGCTTCAATCCGTCCACCATAGACGGGACAGACCTTGCCAAATCAGCCAACGAGAACAGGATTAATTCCTTATTGATGAAATCGCTGTACGTGATGACCCGCTGAGTTTGATCCAGAAATGTCCCTGGCTGCATTCCCATGTCACAGAGTTAATAAATTATTCCTATATCATCAAGAATACGTACCTGGTACCCTCGCAGCCATATTTTTCTGGCTTCGGTTTTTTTCTTGCTAAATGCTAGCTCTATAGAGTCACCATCTTCATCATTGTCCCATGCGAAGTCCTTCTTGTGCTTGACCAGATCTCGAAAGTACTCCTTGCCTTCCTTTGCTGTACTCGTGCCCAGACCCTGTTGACAAGCCTTTAGTTTGTGCCTCGCTAATAGTACAGGGTGCAAACCTTGTAGTACTTGATACTCCAACCCTTGGTTTCTCCTCTCAGGGACTCTTTCCACGACTCGTATTCCGGCATAGTATAGAAGGATAGTACCTTTCCGTTCTTATGTGTTGCCTGCATGTGCAAGAAACATTCGATATAGTTTAGTCATCAAAAGACGAACCTTAACAATTGGCGTGATAAATTCCACCAAGAAACCGGGAACTTTCAAAAGTGATGGCCAAAACGTGTGAATGAAATTGATAATAAGACCTTTGATGTGTGACCCGTCGTGATCCTGGAGCAACAACTGCTAGGAACAAAGGAAACGATTCTAACAAAGCAATGTACCTGGTCGGTCATAATCATCAAATGACCGTAACGAAGAGACTTGGTATTTTCATAACCTTTTCCCTGCTGCAACCCCAGTATCTGCTTTATGCTGGTGATTTCAGCGTTATCCATTATTTGCTTGTGCGTTGCCTCTCGAACGTTTAAAAGCTTTCCCCTGAGAGGAAACACACCATAGTGGTTACGGCCAACCACACTGATGCCACTCATCTGAAGACAACAAAAAGTTAAGAAGGCTGAAAGAGCAAAGACTGAGCTTACAGCAAGAGCTTTAGCTGAATCTCCTTCAGTCAAGATCAAAGTGCATGCTTCGGAGTTCTTGCCGCCGGCATCATTTGCATCGTCCAGCTTGGCTATTCCAGTTAGGCGCTGCCTCTTGGCACCGTCGTTCTTCTTTAGCTCCTTACTCTGCTTAAAGTCCGCCCACGACAGAACATTGTCAACTACCCCGCATTTAGAAACTGTTTGGATATCCGTTAGTAAGGAAGTGCATTATGCGGAGACAAATATTACCTTTCTTCAGAAACTCTGGGGACAGCTCGCACTTCGATCCAAAACTAGTTTGACGAGTAGTCAATGTTTCCTTCGTCTGGGAATCGAAGGCAGGGTTGTCAATCAGAGAATTGACAAAGACCCAAAGATGGTTTCTGATTTGGAAACCCTTCACGTTCGCATTTTTGTTCTTCTTGTTCACAATTTCCTGTATGTGGCTTACGATCTGTTCCGAAACATGCTGGACGTGCGTGCCACCCCGGATTGTGGCGATGCTGTTCACAAAGCTAACCTGGGTGAACATCAACGTCAGCAAGCAGCAAACCAGAAAGAAGACAGTCTTACCTGTTGAAACTGTCCATCGCTTAAACTCACGCATACTTCCCACCGATCATTTGCACGCTCATATATCCTGCAATTCAAACTGAGTTTAGCAAGTGAGGACTCAAAGAAATATAAAGAACCTTGGAAGCGTCTCTTCTTTGCCTTTCTGAGCGGAGGCAAGGTAAAGCCCCACGTAATCCGAAAACGTTTTAACTGGGAGCTTTTGGCCGTTCAGCTCCACCTTAACAGTCCTGCCAAGACAGCCCGCAATATCCAAAACACGTTTGGACATCAGGGCAACAACATCCTCCTCCAGATACGTCATGTGGAACTTGGCGAGGTCGGGCTTGAAAGTCACCTTAGTCCAATTTTCATTGGACTTGCACGAGCTAATAGCTGGCTCAGACTTCGCACTCATGTTGTTAGAGAACACCTGATCAAATCGAAACGATAAGCAAGGTTATATAAAGCTCTGCTAAGAAGATGATGCCTACCTGCTTGTACTTTTTACCCCGCTTGCCATCCGCGGTTTCAATCACAAACTCGGTTGAGAAAATGTTCGCGAGCTTAGCACCGTATCCATTCCTCCCACCAGTCGTCTTCTTCTCATTGTCGTCGTAGTTGCTGCTTGTGAGGAGATGGCCAAAGATCATCTCCGGAACGTAGACGCCTTGCTCGTTGTGAACTTCCACAGGGACTCCGTCCCCGTTGTTGTAGACGGAGATGGTGTTTTGCTCCACGCTTATCGTGACTTTGACAGCGTCCATGATGGGATCCCGCTGCTTGTTGTCGGCAGCATTCACCAAGATCTCGTCGAAAATCTTGTACAGCCCAGGGACGTAGGTCACCGCACGATTCACCAGCTGACCGCCCTCATACACCCATAGCGTCTGCGTGTGCTTCTCAATGGAGCCAACGTACGTGTCCGGCCGCAGTAGAACGTGTTCCAGAGGGGTTTTCTTCTGGTAAATCTCCTCGATAGTCTTGCCGCCAGCAGCGGCAGCTCCCGGCCGCCCCATCGCCAAACCTGCCAGCCGCCAGAGATTTCAGCTCAGTCGAAGCTCGGAAACAAGCTCTAAAACCCTAGGCATACCTCGATCGAGCTCCTCACGCCGCGCGCCTTAGCCTCGCCTCTCCGCCCGCCAGCATTCGAAGCTCTGACTCAGATCTAAGAGAGAAAGCCCGCAGCGCTCGTCGTGCCCGGCGCGCTCTCCTCGTCCAAGATCAATCCCAACCTAGGAAATGGGAGGCAATTTGAATTTCCCCCCAAAAGTATCAAAAAAGAATGTGCGCACCAACGGCCATGATAGATTTTACTGTTATTTAATCAATGGCTCCGATTCTTCTATGGAGCCGAGTAGATATTTTGGGTGATCACACGGAGAAGAATATAAGATTGTTAGTACTAGTAGTCAATTGGTTCCAAGATGCTCGCCCTTGTCGTTGCTAACATGACAAGAACTTGCGTGATTCCAGGATCATGGTGGAGGAAAATGCTTGAATGGATTTTTTTTTTGCTAAAGTATTGTGTTGGGGCATCTTGATTTTGATCACAATCACAGTATTTATTTTAGAAACCACTTGAGAGAGACCACAATCTCAATGCTGACTGCTGTCTAGAAGGTACACCTGTCAAGCGAAAGTTGATTGTATGATTTATAACAACAGGAGTTTTTGGAGTTTATGCGAGATTATTCTCCGGGGAAAGATGCTTGAGCGAATATATTCGCGTTAAGAAAACAACACTAGACTCCAGGCTGGAATTTGATATATAGTGGACGAGCTTGGCCTCCATTTCTCCGCAAAGGGAAGCCGCATGGGTAGGAGTGCATCTTGGTTTTCTAAATTTCTTTAGTTTATCCTTGTAAATCCAGGCCGGATCATGGAGAGTCTTGTGGTATCGTCCCAAGCAACCGGAGTTCATAACGGATTGCTACTCCATAGCGAATCGAAGCTAAAGAAGAGTCATGCTGCTGGTTTTCCTCGATCGGGTCCCTTGTTGCATGGTCGAAGCTGGAATCAGTCGACAAGGATCAAATCGATCGAAGTCAGGTCCATTTTAACACGAGAACCTGCAAAACAAGCAGGAGAATCATGCCAGCACGAAGAACTCAAGCCTGCATGGCTCAACGATAAGTACGCGGGTCTGGCAACCTGGAACTCGATTCGAAGAGAATCATGGGAAGGAGAGCTGCCGGTTATCCAAGGCCAAATTCCTCTCTGGCTGGTAATATTTTCTTTCCTTATCATCGTTTAAGTTCCTCACATTCAAGGCTTGTCCTCTTGTCTCTTGGCTTTGAGCAGAAGGGAACATATTTGCGAAATGGACCTGGGAGATTTGAGATGGGAGAGCACCGATTTGGTCATCTCTTCGACGGGTATATCATTGAGATTAAGCTGACAGAATTTCTTGTCTGGTTTTGTTCTGTTTCGCTAATTCCGAGTTCTGTTTTTTACTTTTCTTTTGTTCTTTTCCTATCGAACAGATATTCTTGCTTGCTTCGGCTCTACTTCGAGAATGGAAAACTTCATGTCAAGCACGCACAGCTTCAATCTGACGCTTACAAGAGTGCGAGAAAGAACCAGCAAGCATGTTTCAGGGAGTTTTCAGTGGTACCAAAGCACGAAAACGTTTGGTCTTTGCTGGAAGACGTGGTTGGAATGGCGATGGGAACAACACTCACGGACAACGCCAATACGGGCGTCATATGGTAGCATCGCTCATAAGACTAGATGATATGATATGTTAAGAAGCTTCTCTTGAACTGACAGCTTGGGGGATGGGCGAGTGGTTTGCATCACCGAGACTGTGAAGTCGTCAACACAGATCGATCCATGGACTCTGGACACTATTGGAAGATTTACATACGACGACAATCACAAGGTACAAACATGATTTCTCGCTTCGATTCATGCGAATTGTCCAAACTTTTGGCAGGGTCTTCTCCACTCAGGTCATCCTTATGTTACAGACAAGGAATTCATCACCGCCCTTCCAGACTTGATCAAACCCGGATATGATATCGTGAGGATGGAACCAGGAACAAACACAAGAAAACATCTTGGCAGGGTTAGTAATTCCAAAGCTCTACATATTGTCACCTTACAAAAGCTTCGTAACGTCTTCAGGTGAATTGCAAAGGTCCGGCTCCCGGATGGATCCATTCCTTCGCTCTTACGGAGAATTACATTGTCATCCCAGAAATGGCGCTGAGATACTCGACCAAAAATCTCCTCAAGGCGGAGCCATGTCCGTACTACAAATTCGAGTATATGCCCGAGCACGGATCGTATTTGCATGTCATGGACAGGAAATCGGGAAAAGTGGTACGTGCTTTTGATATTAGAATCTTCTTACAAGCTTGGATTTTCTCAAGGTAAACGTTGTGGAGGTTCCAAACTTTCTCATGTTTCACTTCATCAATGCCTACGAGGAAACTGGCGAAGATGGGAAGCCAAGAATTGTGGCCGACTGCTGCGAACACTTGTCAAATCCTATCATTCTCCGGAGAATGGAGCTGGCAGAGCTTCGATCGAAGGGGAAAGAAATGCCATACGCAAGGTGTGTTGAAGTTTTTCCTTCCAGTTTCGCTCTAGCTAAGGAAGTTACAGGCTTGGGAGATTTAAGATACCAATCTCTGGAGGGGGCAAAGGAACTCTAGAGAATGCTGTGCCTCCGCAAGTTCATGGGCACGGACTAGACATGAACACCATGAATCCTCATTATTATTCTCGTGACTATCGCTACGTCTACGCAAATGGGGCTCATAGGCCTTGTCACTTTCCAAATTCTCTGGTCAAAGTAAGTAGTTTCCTCCAGGCCATACGAAACAACACCAATGAATTGCTCTTGTTTGCTAGATTGACATCAAGGGCCAGAGTGCTAAGGAGTGGTACGAGCACGGGAGCATTCCAACGGAGCCAATGTTTGTTCCACGACCCGGCGCCACTGAAGAAGACGATGGTAAAGTTTCAAGTTTCTTGTACATCATCGTGTAAACCTCTTACTGACTGTAGGTGTGGCGATATCTATTGTCAATGATGATAAAGGTGACGGATACGTGCTCCTCTTGGACGGGAAGAGCTTTGAAGAAGTTGCTCGAGCACCACTTCCCTATGGACTCCCATATGGGATCCATGGAGCGTGGTTGGACCAAAGGTGATACATGTCTATCGTATCTACTTTGTTATTGCATTGATATATATTTTTTCTGTATTGAGTTAATACTGATATTTAGTAGCACATCACATGCTGCATAAACCAATGCAAAACTTTGGTCAATTCTTGGTCAGACTTTGCAGGCTGCTTACATGGCCAACAAACACCTCCGTGATCCCGTCCTTCCTGCGATGCCCGAATGAATCGGCGCCGGGAACTCCTCCACCATCCTCCTCTTTGATCGTTGAGATCTCTGCCGCCGTTGCGCTTGTCTACTGCATCCAGGGAGCTCTCGTCGTGCTCTCTTCGTGGAGGCGACACTGACGTAGAATGATGATGATTATCTCCGCAGGGTGATCCTCGACTTCGTCATCGCCGGAAGGAACAGCATTTGGTTTATCCTTCGTCGTTTGTTGCCCGAGAGCTCGCGTCCTTCCTGAGGTGGTCCTTGCTGACTCGCCCCACGAACTCGAGGTAGATCGAGAACCGATATCAATCCCGCCTTGATCAGAGTCTGGAGCATTGGAGTAGAAGAGGACGATTGGCATATGGCCAATCTGACAAACATCTAGAGGAGTCAAGAGGACGCGTGCATGGAATATTGACTCTAGACTCTATTACCTCCATGGGGATTGACTCTATTACCTCCATGCCAACTATTTAAGTTATAAAGCCACAATTGTTCTTATTTGATTCTAATCATAGGGGTTACTAAATTCTAACAATGGAGCTATCAGGGCAGCTTCCTCATGCCTGCTGCTATAACACCATGTAAACGGTATATAAATGAGGATAGTCACAGCACTATGAGGCAAAACTTATGAATGAATGAGATTGATATACTGAATTTGTCTCTGGTTGCATTAAAAGCAAGAAAGCTGCGGCCAAATGAGAATGCTTTCTCCTGATGAAAACCGCCGAGTTTTTCCTTTCTTCTTCTACTTCGATTGGCTGGAGCGTCACACTGGCAGCATTTAACTGGGAAGAAAAACTGAACTTGCAAGCTTGAATGCTCGTACATGCTCTTGTAGAAATTTGGGGACGATGGAGCAAATGCTAAGAACAGTCAGATGAAACAATAATGGAAGCTCGCAGCAGCCGCGGCGGCAGTGGCAGCGTTCATCACAGTGCTGGAGCTGGCGGCCGCTGAGGAAGAAGAGCTCGAATGCTGCACCACAAGTTGCTGCTGCTGCCGGTCATCTAGAAGCTGCTGCTGGTGATGCCGGGCCCCGAGATGATCGTTGCTGTGACCACCATTTCCAAAATCCTCGCCGCCACTACCATCAACGTTGGTGCTGCTCATCAGGTTGATCAGGCCGTGATGATCGATCACTCCTGGAACCTCTTGCTGCTGCTGCTGCTGCTGGTGACGAAGATGGTGATTGTGGTTGTGTTGCTGTTGCTGTTCTTGGGCCTGGAAGAAGCGGAGCTGCTCTCTCACCACCGCTAACTCTCGCCGCAGCTTGTCCAGCTGCTGCTCCAGCATGCAGATGATCCCCATGCAGCCGTGGACGGGGTCCTGCTCGCGAACGTCCGCCTCGAACATGAGCGATTGCATAGTCTCGTCTCGATCCTTGACCAACACCTGGTTGAGCAGCCGGAGCATATTGCTCACCCCAAACAGCTTCTTGCAGTTCATGAAGCGCTGGTTCTCGCTCGCTGGGAAATACTTTGCCAGCGGGCACGCAGGGCTGCATCGCCGCCGCTGGAACCGGCAGGCCGCGCAAGCTTGGACCTCCATACTCACAAAAAGGCGGAGCTGATCACGATTTGACCGGGCGAAGAACTCCCAAAACTACACAAACACACTTAAAGACTTACAAGTGAGAAGGATTGATGTCTTTCTTTCCTCCGTGAGATCCGAGCGGCTACAAACAAGCCCAGGAGCTTCCCACCACCGAGTTTTCCTCAAAACCAAAACCACACCTTCTATCTTGGTACCCAACTTCCAGAAAAGAAACATGTATTACTTTCCATGTATGAACAAGCTTCCGAACTGGTGGTACAACGTATTTGAAGCGTCCATCTCTCCGTACGTACCAGGTGACGGCAACGCGGCCTGCATCTCAACGAGCAGCTTCTTTGCTTTCGAAGAATGCCCGGCTTTGGCATATGCCCAAACCATGGCAGTATAGGCTACTGGGTTCTTAACAGGGATCTTCTCAAACGTTTCTTTGGCCAGTTTCAGCTTGCCACCTTTACCGTAGGCTGTTACCATCGTGGTCAAGGTGAAAATGTCGTGGTGAAAAGGCATCGCGGCAAGTAGCCTTTCACATTCTCGAATATACCCGCATTGGGTATATGCAGCGAGCATGATATTCCACGAGACGGGATCTTTCTTTTTTTGTACGGAAAAGATCTTTGCGGCCTTCTCGAGCCTCCTGCTGTGACCGTACGCATGGAGCAATGCGTTCCAAGTCACTGCACAAGCCTTGTGCTCCTCTCTGAGCCCATCAAAGATAATCTGGGCTTCAACAATCTGCCCAGCTCGTCCGTACGCGGCGATCAATGTGGTTTTCGTGAATTCATCGTCTTTCGCTGGCATGATCTCGAAAAACTCCAGAGCTTCTCTCAAAGTTCTTTGGTTGGCATATCCCGAGAAGATTACATTCCACGAAACTGAATCCCTTGCAGGCATTCTCGAGAAAAGCTTCTCTGCCTCTTCAAGTTTTCCGCCTTCCACAAAAGCTTGGATCATACAGTTCCACGAAACCACATTACGATTCGGCATTCGATCAAACAGATCCTTTGCAGCAGAGAAATTCCCCGTCCGCGCATAAGCGGCAACTAAAATCGTCCATGACACCACGTCCCGGTGGATCATCCTCTCAAACAAATCCCTGGCTTCTTTGAGATACCCGTTCTGAGCATAAGCAGAAAGCATCAAGTTCCACGATCCAGCATCTCTAAACTCCATCCTATCAAACAGCTCTTTTGCTCGATCTACATCCCCTCTCTCGCCATAAGCTTGGATCATCACATTCCACGACACAGCATTACGGTCCGGCATCTTCTCAAACAGGCTCTTTGCTTCCTTCAAGTCTCCGGATTTCACATAAGCCGCGACCATTTGTGTCCACGACACCACATCTCGATCTGGCATAGCATCAAACAGCTTCCGAGATTCATCAAGATGCCCATTCTCGGCATACGCATGACACATAGCATTCCACGAAGAAGTGTTCTTCCGGGGAATCAGATCAAAAACTTTCTTTGCAAAACCAACCTTCCCATTACGAGAATACCCAACAAGCAATGCATTCCAGGTTACCACATTGCGTTGCGGCATTGTATCAAACACCGCTTTGGCCTCCTCCAAATGCCCTGTAATGGCATATGCTGTTAGCATCGTCGTCCACGCTATCACATCTTTGGTTGGCAGAGCATCAAACATGGACTTCACTTCATCAAGCTCGCCATAATCGACGTAAGCTTGCATCATTGTTGCAAAGGTGACGCTATCTTTGTCGGGAATCACAAGAAAAAGACTCCTCGCGTCTCGCAGATGCCCGTTACGGGCATATGCCTGAAGCATTATATTCCACGAGAAGACATTCGGGTGCGCGATCGAATCGAAGGTTGCCACCGCCTCCTTGATGGATCCACACTTTCCATACATCTCCACGATGAGATTCGCCAAGAATATGTTGTGCGAATGGCGGGAGGACGAGACAAGGGCGTGAATGCGTCTAGCCTGGGCCAAATCTCCCCTGGACGATCGCACCAAGGATGCAAGATGCTCGATTGAGACCTCGTCCCTGCAATTCCGGGAGGAGGAGGAGGAGGAGGATGATACCAAGTTCCACCAAACAACAAGAACAACCATAGTTCTTTCTACTCTTTGTTCTTGTCCTTGTTCTTCCAGATCACAGTCCCTGGCTCATCGTTCCGGAAAATCCTGCTCGACCCATCACTCCCGAGGATGAGCTGCGTCGGCCCAAGGCTCGAATTGCTCGTCCCGGACGCCCACTTCGCGCTGTGGCGCTCGTCGTAGATCACCAAGTTCATGTCCTCTTGGAGAACAAGGTAGCAGCCACTTTCAGCGAGGTAAGTGTCGCTCGCCCACAAAACCACGTTGGAATCGGTGTCGGTGAGCACGAGGTTGCAGTCGCTTTGCATCTGGAGGAGGAACTTGTGATTGGGCGATCGAAGCGAGCACTGCGAGTAGAGATGGTTCCACGGAGTGTGGCTCTGGAGGACGCTGCGGTAGCCAAAGCAGTAGTCGAGAGAATTGTTGTAGCTCATCGAGAGCTTGGTGCAATTGTCCGCTCCTCCCACGAGCCTGGAGCCTTGCATCGTGTAGCCGACCTGGAACTGGCCGAGGATCACCACTCCGGAGCCATAGCCGGAGCCTGCCGCGAGCTCGAGCACCTCTCTGGCGACCGGAGCGAACTTGTCGAGCAGGGAGCTTCCGGGAGCCGCGGGGACGGTGGCGACGAAGGAAGGATCGCACAGAGCCTCGTCGTAGAAGTGGAAGTTGACGAGGATGGCGTCATCGCTGCTCGAGTTCCTGGGGAGTACGGAGCCGTAGAAGGACTTACCTGCCTTGTAAGTCGAGTTGGGAAGAATTGTGGCCGAGATCTCCGAGAACTTGGCTCGCAGTGCGTCGCTGGAGGATCTGTCGAGACGGCCTGGCTCGGAGAAGATTACCATCTTCCCGACAGCCGAAGTTCGCAGTAGATTTAGCAGCAAGATCCATTTGAGGAGTGGAAGCTCCATGCTGCGCTAAGTGAGGTGAGTGCGTTGTGGAATAAAAAGTACCTCATATAGTGATGAAGAGATAAGACAAAGGAGCAGAAGGATGAGAGTGTCTTCAAGCTAAACGCTGAAAACAGCAGACGGTGGAAACAACAACATAACAACATGGAGAAAGCAAATGGAAATTTGCAACTTAGCTCTGCTTTGGATCTTAGATGTGGATCTTCGCACCGCTGTGAGCCTGATGCTCCGCAAGCTTGTTCTGGCTCTGGCATATCAGGAAGCCACAAAGGACGCTGCTTCGAAAGACTTGCTCCTGGATTTTTTTCAGCTTCTCGTCACCAATGAGAGTCCTCACCCGTTTCAGAAATTCCTCGCGGGAGATCTTAGCATTCTACAAGAGGATAAATTCACTTTAGACTTGGCCGACAAGAAAACAGCGAACTACCTTGAGCTCCAAGTAATCCTGGACTACTATATTCATCTCCGACGAGGAAAGCTCGGGCTTGAGCACCGAGAACAGCATGGGCACCGTCACACTTGACTGCTAAACAAAGAAAATTGGACTACGTTACTCCTAAAGCATTAAGGAAAAAGAAATGAAAAAGAAAAACACCTTCGGTGGGATTACTTTCTCCTTGATCTCGGAAGAGTTGCTGCACTTGGCTGATGCCTCCATAATACCTGCGAGGGAAAGAAAATACAAGAGCCAAGGTGTAAAAGATGAAAGTGGGAAAAAAAGAGCTTCTACTAACCGTGCCACTTGCGTGGAAACTTGAAGCTGGCAACGTAGAGCGGCAGAATATGCGTGTTCATGCGTGTGCTCCACACAATGAAGCGTTTCGGATTCGCCAGATCGTCAACACCGGTGTCAACCAAATCACTGGATGGATGGAACTGCTTGCTCCCTGCTCGCACAAGCTCAGCTTTGCCAAGAATCGCACGGCACAGCAAGACATGCTGCTCGCCATTTTCGTCAATATCCGCGCCTCTGCAACTGCACAAGAACGAAAGACAATCACGTCTCGCCGCGTCGCAAAACAAAGCATAAGCACTTACCTCAGGCGAGAGAGACTCTCTGGACTAAGATATATCCCCACACCGTAGGTGGAGTCCACCGACGGACGTCCAAAACCATGCTTGATGACACTCAGAAGCTCGTTTCGAGAACACCCGTACCAAGCCTGCTGCAAATTCGCATCCCCGCCTCGCACCTTGGCCGTGAGATCGCTGAGCGTCTCAAACGCTTCTCGGCGAGCCAGACCGCCAGGACAGTCGTAACGAACTTTGCACACCGAAGTAACATCGGCCACCGCCGAGAGTCGCCCGAGCCCCGCTAGAAACGCTGCTTTGACGTCGACGAGTTTTGGATCGCCAGCCTCGAGCTTCGCGAGCCTGCCACCGCTGGAAACCACGAGATTGGCGAGCTTGCTGCGGCTAGAAGTCACGTCTTCCACTTCGCCACCCTCGTCTTCCACGGTGGAACAAGCCCCGGCCGTGTCGGTGGTAGAGATCGAGCTTCCTTGCCGTGCACTCAAGGAAGCCTTTCCACCGCCAAGGAGCTTCTCCACATCGTCGAGCGATCCAGGGCCCTCGAATGGCTGGATCGGGCTGGAAAACTCTCCATCGCTGTCAAACCAACCGATCGAGTTCCTGTATCCAGTCCCGGTGTTTAGCTGGATCATATGCGCGAAGAACACCGCCAGATGACAGCTCGCAAAGAAAATCTCCGCGATTTCCCTGCCGCCGCGGTAGGCCTCGCACAGAGCAGCGCTAATTTCCACGGGGAAATCCTTCCAAATCCCTGCCGCGAAGAATACGAACCTGGAAGGCCTCCTTCCATCGATCAATCGCTGCCTCTTGCCCGCGGCTCCGCTACCTCCGCCATTGCCACTCCTTTTCTTGTCCATTGCTTGCTTCAAATCCACCGATGGAGAGCACCGCTACACCAACAGTGGATCCAAGTAGCGATACAGAGCGGGGACAGTGCAGCCGTAATCGATCGCAGCACTGGAGCGAGGATCCATACCTCTGATCGATCCGCGGGGAGGAAGTCAAAAACCACCTAGGGTTCCTTCTCCCTAAAACGAAAACGATTTAAACCCCGGAGTTACTTCAAATAAAAGAAAAGGTCCCCCTTTTTTTCCATTCTTTCTTTCCCAAAAAACACAATGGCGGCGGCAAACGTTATAGACTATTTCCTCTTTTTTTTTAGTGGCTCTTGACATACTCTTGGATCACATTTAGCCCTTCAGTCTCCTCGCCATAGTCCTGGAGAACCAAAACTTTCGTAAGCAAAACCCCGGAGAATCCAAGACTCTAGTTCTTCGGAGCAATCCTAGTTCTTCGATGAAAGAAGAGAGCAATCCAAGTGACACGAGACATACCCGGATCACCACGCAGGAGCAGCCGACGACCTTTCGAGCCTTGCCTTCGGAGTCGATCTTGCAAAGCTGCAAGATCAAAGCGAAAAGTTTGAGAGAACTTGGAGAAGGAAAAGGGAAGCTTACCCCGGCCCATTCACCCAGCTTCTTGGCGCTGGGAACGGAGATCAAGTTGACGTCGTGCTCGGCGCACAAGGCCTGGACGAGCTTCGTGTAGTCGGCCTGGTTGCAGTCCTCGGCAAGGACGCAGAGCTGCGCAGCGTGCTTCTCGATCGACTTGGCGGCCTCGTGGAGACCCCGGGCGAGACCGTCGTGAGCGAGAGATTTCTTGAGCACCAGTTGGAGTGCCGTCAAGATATCCATGGGCTCTCCAAGCACGGGAGTCGTCTTCTCGGCGGCAGCCTCACCTATGGGTTCGTCGCTACAGCATCACCAAAGAAAGAAAGATCAGACTCCCTTTGAATAGATCCACGAAGAAACACAAGAACTATGCAAAGTTTCGTCGTTGAGAAGCAGGAAGATCCACAAGATCAACACAAGAACTATGCGAAGTTTCGAAGTTGAGATATCCACAATATCAATCAAAGAAACACAAAAACTATGCAAAAATACTTACGCGTCCGACATCGTTGCTTTCGATCGATTACTTCCCCGCACGAATCACTGCGAGAACGAGAAGGGGCAAAAGTTAGAATTTCCCCTGCCGCAGCAAGCGTGTCGGGGGAGGCTTTATGGGCGCTGCGAGCTCTCGTAGCGCGCCCACCTAAAGATCCCCCACAGCCACAATCTATGTCCATATTTACAGCGGGAGCGCTCTCCAAGCGCGCCGCCAAGAATTAGGACACGCGCATTGCATCCTTACCTTGTCTCTCGCCCCGGACGAACTCGCCGCCGCCCGCCAAGAACCCTAAATTTCTAGGGTTTAACCTGGAATCCAATGGACGGCGACGATATGAGCATGCTCTCGAATATTCTCCCTACTTAAAAAGCTCGATTCCCGCCGAGAAATAGTTATCTACTAGGTATCCCCCACTCTCTCTTGAATCTAGCCATAGCTACTAACCACCTGGAGGTTGGAGGTGTGAATCGCCTACCTAGGGGGCTCACCTTAGCTTTTTCCATTTTCTTCTTTGCCAAATGCGTCCTGTGCACAAACACTGGAAGCTTGGAATATTGGCTAGCTTTGGAAACGAAGAAAAGGACTGTAGGAGTATACGTCCACGTCAATCGGGCCAAAGTGGGAAGTTAGTGTCGCACGGCCTCATTCGGCACGTGGCCGATTCGGATTGAATCTGTACCCTAATTGCTCGCCACCTTCTTCCCAACTTATAAGCTCCGTGGATAGGCCGCTGTCTTGACGATCAAGTAAAAGTAATGTGACCCTTTTTGCCGCGCTGCCGGGGGGCGTAGAATATTCCGCGAATCGTTTCGTTCCGATGAGAGGCCTGTGTTGCGACCGTAGGATTGCCGCACACCCATGGAATAAATTGACTTGCATTGGCTTTTTTCTTTTCCAAGCTGGAAAGAACAATCGTGCTTCATTGGAACTTTTCCTTTTTTATCTCTCTTCTTATTACAATCTCCTTTAGGATAGGCTTTAGGTTTAGGGTTTCCCAATCCAGACACCATATATATATATATATAGCATAACAAAATCAGCCCAAACAACCATGAACTAAGTCTCTCGCATGACAAAAATCCATGGCCCCAGCTCTATTTCTCAAGCATTCAAAAGTAAAAGTGAGCTCAAGTTTTAAGGGTCCCTTGTCTGACTCTTTACCAAACTAGAGAATATATGACAAGCATAGGGTTTATGTTTTCTTGGAGATTTATTTACTGTGATAGTAAGTTTTTAGTTTTACATCTTGGAGTTGAAACTTGAGTTTCTTATTTTTCTCAGTAGGCGTTGCTAACAGTGTCACTTTGGAAAGAATCAACATTTTAACATGGAATGGTTAAGAGTGAGAAAAAGCAACTTTTTTTTGTGAATTTAACATTTTTTTTTTCTTTTTTTTTGAAGGCAGCGATAGAAAGGTAAGAAGCCTTTGCTCGCTCTTGATTCGTTATCCCGTATAATTCCACCTCCCTATAAATATTTCTCGGTCTTTTGCCTGGCTTCTTACCTCTCGATCGCGGCAATTGGTTTCGCTCTTTTGGCCACTTGTCTTGCAATTTGCAGTCGCTACCCCTTTGCCGAGCGATTGGCTTTCCGATTCGCCGCAAGCCGCAAATTTTAATCTTGGAGCAGCCAAGATGATCTGATCGACAAAATTGGAAGATTACTCGCCTCTGTCTCTCTGCTCGCTCCCTCTCTCTCTCTCTGCTCGCTCCCTCCCTCTCTCTCTCTCTCTCTCTTATCGCATCCTCTCTTCCTCTCCTCTAAAGAACACAAGAAGAAAAAAGAGGAGGAGAAAGTGATTCTAGCCAGATAGTGCTGTTTGATTTCGGCTGCTTGCTCCATACTTTGCGACCGGGACGGAACAGCGCCACCACTTACGACGAAACGAACCGAAAGATATTTCCTCAGGTATAACATCATGCTGAGAGCAGCTCTTTCTTGAGTGGTGATCTCTTGTCCTGGAGAGCTTCTGATGTGAGCGAGAGACCCACACTATTTCTTCGAAGTGCCAGTGTTTGAATGTGTTTGTGACACTGAAAGTGATACGACGCCCCACGACAAAAGCGTCCATCCGTGGAACGAAAGATCGAAAGAGACGGCCGCCCCCCTCACGATTTCTTCGATCCACAACTTGAAATCCATCTCTAGCTCGCCGAGAAGTTCCTCCCCGCTAATTGGATCGAGAGAGAAGAGATCATCTCAGAGCTCTCCTCTCTCGCTCGCTCGCTCGCTCTCTCTCTCTCTCCTCCGTGCCATACCTGTTTTCCATAATCCCCACCTTTTGTCAGCGTGCCCGGATCGATCGCCTCATGTTACATGCAAGGCCTTCTTTCCTCTTCCCCGCGCTCTCTTTTTCTGTACAAAGTGGCTGATTGGTGGCAGTGAAATATTCCTTGCAGGAGGTGAGGGTACTCTCACACGCACAATCACGACACCCACACGCACGCTCCTTCGTCACCAAGCTTATATTCCATCCCACAAGTTGATTAACACGGTACCATAATCATCCTGCACCTCCTCCTTCCATATGCCAGTTTTTGATGACGACGAATCTCTCAGGCTCACGCTGTCTCCACCCAGCAGGACTAGAAGCCCCCGCGAGCTTGGAGCATCATCTCTAACCCCAGCGCCGCCAGCTTCATCGTCACACTCCGCCGCCACCCCCGCCACCGCCACCGCCACCGCCACCGCCACCGCCACCATGCCTAAGTCGGAGAGAATCCCCGCTCCATTCCCGTGGGCCACCGAGTACCGCGCCCATGTCCACTCGCTCGACTACCTCTGGAGCTCGGCCATCACTCGCATCCGCGGCGAGGTGATCTGCAAGCGCTGCGACGGCTCCCAGATGGTGGACCTCGACGTCCGGGACGCCTTCATGCAGGTAAACAACTATTTCATCAGCTACCGCGACTCCATGCACGACCGCGCTCCCAAGTGCTGGACTTCCCCCCGGCTGCTCGACTGCTCGCTGTGCCGCCAGTGCGACTGCGTCAAGCCCGTCATCGACGCCAAGAAGCGCAACATCAACTGGCTCTTCCTGCTGCTCACCCAGACGCTCGGCCTCTGCACGCTCGACCAGCTCAAGTACTTCTGCAAGCACACCCGCCGCCACCGCACCGGGGCCAAGGACCGGGTTCTCTATCTCACGTACGTTGGCCTTCTCAAGCAGCTCAATCCCAACGGGCCTTACGACTGAGCGAGCGAGCGAGCGAGCGAGCCTCCGGATCGACCTGTGCTCTTTATGCTGCGGTTGATCTTTGTTTTAACTGTTGTTTCCTCTGTTACTTACGATGCGTTTCCAAACTGAGACCGACCTTTGATCCTTGTTTCCAGTTATGTGTGACCACCCCATATAGCGTGAAAGTGAGATTTGCTGGTGTGAGATTTCCTGTACAAACATGCTTTAATTAAAATTTATATAATAGTAAGAGAAGACGAAAGCGAGAGAAAAAAAATTAAGAGAGAGAGAGTACCAAGTTTCGATGCGCTGCCGTTTTTCTGTCCAAGTCACAAACTGACAAAGATAGTTAGATCAGCCAACAGAAATGTGGGCTGGGCTAGGACGCAAGTTTCACAAGGAAACCAAAAAAAAAAAAGGAGTGACATTTCTTGTTAAGCAACAAATATTAAAACATCTGCAGTGAAACTGGAGCTTTTGGGTACCTATGAAGCACGATTACCCAGCGCAAGAAGAATTTTTTTCCTTGGTCCCTACCAATCCAGGAAAAAGGATGAGATGTGTCTCAAAAGTGAAGAAAGAATCAGTGGGTGGGTTCTTACCATGGGAACATTCAGTTCCTTGAGATCTTCATCTTTCATATGCCTCAATGCTGTCATATCGACCTGCAAAACCCATCATTTAGCCCCGGAATTTCCAAAGTGGATTCTATCACTCACCTCTTCCGCTTGGAACGTTAGTAAGTACTTTTCCAATCCTAGAGACGTCAAAAACGAAGCAACACTTTCCAAGGCCTGCACAAAAAAGTGATGAGCGTCGAGCATGGATATGTGTGGCTTTGCTACTTACTGGCTGGATTTTCGGAGGTGGTGGATTGCTGCGCGGAATCACAGGCCTCGGCGGCGCCACTGACGCCGAGGCAGCGGTGCTACCGCGGACAATGGTCGAGGGCAGCCTGTGACGAGGCTTCTCGGGTTGAGCCACTGGAGGTGGGATTGGTCCCGACAGCTTCTCACGTAGATCTTTCATGGGTGGACCGCCTCCTCCTCCTCCTCCACTGGAGCTCCGCAAGGGATTCTTTCTCGTCAATCGCAAGCGAAGATCTTGAGTACCGCTCTGGCCTTCTACGAGACAATGCAGCAAACTGACGTATGGAGGGAGCCCAGGAAAAAATAAGAAACGAAACGACCATACCAAGTCCAGAGTCATCTCCATCTTCGTCGGCGTAGAGATCATGCTTCCACTTGCCATCCTCCTGCCTTTGCCTTCACAGAATCACGCTAGTTAAGCTCAACACCGAAAGCCCACGAAGAAAAAAAATCAACCTTTTGTTCACGCTCTGTCGTCCCACGGAAGCAATCCCGTCAGAAATCCCGTGCAATCGCTCGCGCACGGGCCTCTTCCGGCTGCCTGCTACGCCTATCTGATCGGAATACATCCCGTTGCTGCTGTGCTCGGCCTGCGCGCCATCGGATTTGGCAAGAACAAGAAAACCCTAACGTCACCGAGAGCCTCCAAGCAAGCCGCCATACCTGTGGATTACGCTGCGAAGCCGCCGCCCTAGCCGCTGGGATCTTCCTCACCGTGCCCTGTTTCCTCCCGCCACTCCGGACACCGCTGCTACTGCGATGCATGGATTGATCCAGCGTAGCATCTGTAGCGGTAGAATCCCGGCAGTGCCTTGCCCTCCTCCTCCACTCTCCCCTGTGTGACAGTGTTCTTCCCACCTTGCCCTAAACCCGCTTAACCACGTCAGTTTAATTAGCTTAACTGTCCAGCCTTTAAACTTTTAAGCCGCAGTTTTTAACCTGCGCTGGAAAGGGTTCGAAACGGCGACCATTTGCTGGTCTCGAATTTGCGAGGCAATTAGGGTTTATGGCAGCGCCAAGGATCTACGCGCTTGCAAGGCGCTCCACGCGCGGCTGGAGCGCCTCCTCGGGGATAGCTACCGCGGCAATCGCGTTCTCCACACGATGCTCGTCCAGATGTATGGCAAATGCGGCAGCATCGCCGACGCTAGGGCCGTGTTCGATGGGATCCAGCAGCAGGCGCTTACGCCGTCGTGGAATGTGATGATCGCAGCATACGCCCAGAATGGGGATTTTCTCGAGGCGCGCCGGCTCTTCGATCGCGCGCCGCGCAGGGATGTCTTCACCTGGACGACGCTGATGCACGGCGCCGCGCAGCACGAAGGGATCGCTAGCGCCAGGGGGATCTTTCGCCTCATGCCCGGGAGAACGGCCGTGTCATGGAATTCCATGATTGCTGCAAATGCCGTGAATGGGGATCTTTCCGAGGCGGCTGCGTGCTTCAAGAACTCGCCCGAGCGATCGCTCTCGTCCTGGAATTCCATCTTCCAGGCCTATCTCCACAGCGGCGAGCTGGATCGAGCAAAGCCCACATTCGATCGATCGCCCGGGCACGATTGCCTCTCGTGGAACGCGCTCCTGGCAGGGCTTATACGGCAAGGCCACACTGCCGAGGCGCGGAACGTGTACGGCGCCATGCCCGAGACGAACGTGGTGTCCTGTGCGGCGATCATCCAAGGCTACTCCCAAGACGGAGCTCCCGAGCTCGCGAAGAGAGTGTTCGATGAGTTCTCTGGGCGAGACGTGGTGCTGTGGACTTCGATGTTCTTGGCGTATGCCGAGAATGGGTATTTGGAAGTGGCCAGAGCGATGTATGACCGGATTCCTCTCTGGGACGTGATCTCTTCGACTGCCATGGTTGGGATCTTTGCTCACGGTGGCCAGCTCGAGGAGGCAAAGCTTGTCTTTGATCAGATGCCTCGGCATAGCGTGGTATCGTGGAACTCGATGATGGCCGCATATGCCCAGAAGGGTCATACTGAAAAGGCAGTGGAGATCTTCCATGCCATGCCCGTGCGTGATGTTTCGTCTTACAATGGGCTCATTGCGGCGTATGCGCAGAACAGAGACGTCGAGAACGTCCAGGCGGTGTTTGACAAGATGGTGACACGGGATATTGTTTCGTGGGATGCGCTTCTGGGAGCTTTTATGCAGGACAAGGAGCTGGAGAAAGCAAGCTCTACGTTCAAGCTCTTGCCGAAACGAAGTGTTTCCTCGTGGAACGCTGTTTTCATGGCTTTCGCGCAGAATGGGACGCTGGAAGAGGCTAGAAGTCTCTTCATTTTGATGCCGCAGAAGGATGTAGTGACTTGGAACGCGATGATCACTGCGAGCTCGCATCACGGGGAGCTCTCGGAGGCGGAGCTCTTGTTCCGGAGGTGTCCCGAGAGAGATTCGGTCACTTGGAGCTCGATGATAGCGGCATTTTCACAGAACAAGTTTCTCGACAAGGCGGTCGAGGCTTACGAAGCCATGCCAGAGAAGACGGTCCACGCTTGCAACTCGATGCTGGGGGCCTTCATGCAGCACGGGAAGCTGCAAGAAACCAAGGACGCATTCGACCGCTTGCCAGTGCGAGACGTTATCTCGTGGAACTCCGTGATCGCAATGCACGTCCAAAAGGGCGATTGCGCTCAGCAGGCTTTCGAGCTCTTCCACACCATGCACTTGGATGGATGCTTGCCGGACGCCATCACTTTCGTCATAGTTCTCAGCCTGTGCAACCATTACGGCCTGCTCGACCAGGCTTGCTGCTACTTCGTGTCACGAAGTAGTGATTTTGGCGTCGTGGCGGTTCGAGAGCACTACTGCTGCCTGGCCGATACGCTCGGGCGAGCCGGGCGGCTTGGCGACGCCGAGGAGCTCGTCAAAATCATGCCTTTCGTGCCAAACTCGGTGGCTTGGGGGACTTTGCTGGGAGCTTGCAGGCTTCACCTTGATCCAAGTCGAGGCACACGGATGGCGGAGAATGCGTTTGAGTTTACTGACCGGAGCAAAACCTCGTCGCCGTTTATGGTGCTGGCCAACATGTACTTTGCAGCTCCGTGAGATCTTTTTGCTCTCGCTGATACGTTTTTGTTTTTCTTCTTCGTTACTGCCAGGTGGATGGGCTTGGACATACCAAAACAGGTTGATACACTTTTAAAGATTTTTTTGTTTTTTTGTTTTTGGCAATTTTCTGACTTCCATGGTTTCTTCCAGGTCCGTTCAATCCAAACGCATGGGTCCGTCTCTCCGTCGGTGAGGTATGTTTGTCCGGTTAAAACTCAGGCTGGTTAAACTTGACTTTAGTGGCAGTCTGTTTTGTTTTGGACAGCTTCTCTGCAACTTGGAGGGATTGACGAACTCGGCCTCTTAATGCAAAGTGAGCTTCTGTCTAGAACCTTCTCGACACCTCGCGGATCACAAGCATGGCTTTTTTGGCAGGAGGGGAGGATAAAACCTCTGGGATCTTTGCTTCCAGGCCTGGGACACGGTCCAAGCCGCGGCTCTTGGCTAAAAGGGTGAGCCATCCAGCTCTAAATTGCTGGAGCTGCGTTGGGACAAGAGACCAGCGTTTAAGAGCACCATGACTGTGAGCGGCATGCGAGAAGGATCTTCTTCCTGCGTTTTTAGAGCACTGGCGGTACAGGACAATGGAGCATGCGAATTTGCGGTGGCAGCCGCATATTCCAGCTCTTTTGTGTGGCCTACACTGCGCCAACCACGCCTTCCATCGTCACGTAAGTATAGAACTCGAGAGAGAGGGAGAGGTTTTTATGTTTTTTCTCGTCTTCTTCTTCTTCTTCTTCTTCTTCCATTTGCTGTGTCAGCTCTTTTCCTTGCCTGACGTGCGCGGACTTTGATATTGTGTTCTCGCAGATACCACCACTCGAGCAATCGCCGGAAATTTTCTAGTTTTCTCCTCTCAGCGGCGGTGAAAGAGGTATTGTTTAGTTCTTCTCGGATGATAGCCTTTGTTTGCACTTCTTTCGTTCTATCGACTGTAGCAATCTCAGGTCCTTTGGAAGATCGTGGGAATCTCCCCTTCGTCCCCGGCCGAGTGAGAAGCGAAAAAAAGTACAGGGGAATGAAGTATAGACGTGCGCACGCACACGTTTGCGAGCACACGCCGATGAGACGTCCACGTGGCGGGCTCGGCCGGCATTCCCGCTCAGTGTCTCGCGGCCACCAAACATGCCGTGTCCGTACGTAGGTCGTGACGTCAGCGTTGCGCAAACTCGTGAAGCTTACCTTTCCGTGCATGTGTGCACGTATTTGCTTCGTGGGGATTGGAAATTTTTTGTAGAGCTCATGAACGCAATCTTCTATAAAAATTTGATCTTCCAGTTCCTTCCAAGAACGATATTTTGGGCAAAAAATAGTTGGAGATTGGCTCTATCTGATCCGAGCAACTTGTTGTTCTGTGGCTTACATGGCAGATTCATTGCGCCCGGAATCGAAAGTACACGTACAAACAACACTTTGAAAACCCAAATCCCCCATGCGGGCATTGTTTGTTTTCCAGGAGATCCATCTTGCAACATGTGCCATCTGCTAAATCCTCGCTAAGCTCCCCCAAATGGACATGATTATCATGCGATCAATCTCAGTGTGATACCAGGGATCAATTTGCAACTTGCCAAAGCCTGCTTTGTAGAAAAATGTAGCTTCTCACCTCTGCTGTGCAGATTCTAGGCAAGGATGCAATTACGCACCACATGCAACATTGCAACAAGCTCGCCACCTTTCACCCATGCCTTATCCATGGCTTTGACATTGGGGCATCTCCTTCCACCGAGCTGTTTAGTAAAGTGAATTTCGCGGAGTCGATGATGTTGATGCTAAGTGGCAAACAGCTTGAATGGTTTCATATTCTATGCCATTTGCATTGATGGCCATGAAGAAATTACGAAGGGGTGGACTTGTTAGCAGCGAGACAACATTGTCTGTACTGTAAACACGTAGAGCTCCGAGTAAACAAGACATTGCAATTAATGAGCAGTGACCTTCTTGCGCGAAACAAGCAGCGGGCACACAAGTTTTCATCTTATAATCTTCCCTCTCGTTGAATCGGAAGACCCTTCGGCATCCATAAACAAGAAGACAGCAACGTTGTTTGCTTTCGAAGAGAGATCTGATCATAACAAGGCTCTAAGCAACTCATGAATGATCGCTCTTCTTGGGGGATGTTTCTTCGAGGTCTCGAATTCAAACACTCTCGAAAACCGGAGAGCTGCTTCTGTGTGTAAGTGTGTATGATTTACCAATCACTCCAAGTTCACCATTGTCTCCCATTGGGTTTAGTGCTGTAATTACTACTACTGCAGCAAGTTTGGATTTATAAAATGCATGGTAAGTTGACTGGCACAGTCTTGCCGGTTTGGACAAATGTTGGGTAAAAATCAGAGAAGCTGATTAGTATTTGTTTTGATATCATATCTGGATTAAAATTAGAAGAAGAATGCTTCATGGTGCACACTCAAAGAGACCACGAAGAAAATTCGCGCGTGATCTCCCTGCCTAGCTGTCCATCTGGATCTCTTGCGCTTCCACCGCAGTGATCCTTGCTCCAAAATTCCCTCTTTTCTAGTTTAGAGGGACTTTGTGTCACCACGATGGAAATGGAATGTCGATGAATTCAAAGAGTAAACAATTCAAAGTTTGGAGCTGCTAACATGTTGAGCATGTCTTTACATAGTCTTAAACATCTTTAACCATGAGTGCATGCACTTTGCTCTTAATTCACTAAGCAAATGTCGGTTGTCCACATGATCCCACATTTACAAAAGAATATACATAAGATGGAAGTTATTTGGTGGGTAGGAGACATCACACAATGGATTCAACTCCCAGAGATTTATAACACGAGAATTCTTCTCGTCAAACATATGGATCTCAAAAACAATGACACCCAAGAAGCAGTTTTGAGGGTAAATTTACCATAAGAAAAACTTAAAAGGGTGAGAGAAGAAAAAAAACAGGGTGGGCATTTTGTCAAAGTGTGTCCAGATTTAAGGGCGCGTTAGGGCTGCAGACTGCAACTCCTTGCACGCGTTTCACTTGTGTGCCCCCACAAAGCAGGAGAATTTATTTTCCCAGCCAGCGAGTTTAAGTGTTCTTGCTTGTCATCGCGAAGGCAATGCCGGCTTCCTTCCTGTGTGCTTTGATTGAGTGATTTCTGGAACAGCACTGACATTGGCTCCTTTTCTCTCTTCGCTCTGGATTCACTGCGCTGTGCGCTACGTATGTTATAAGCTGCTGATCTTGCTCCAGAGTAGTGGTGTGTCTAAACTCTAGGACCAGCAATTTGCCACTTGGGCTGCTTTGAGATTCTTCTCCTTTCTCCAGCAAGAACTTGATAGATTGCGTGATCTTTACCAGTGCATGCAAGAAACTTTGCTGCCGTTCGAGATTTGATTTATCTCAATTGCTCTTGCTTGGGATTTCTGGTATTTGCAGGCTAAAGTATTGGAAGTTCTTCTTTTTTTTGGGTTCTTTTCTTTGTCTCTGATCGATCATCATGGCCACGGCCGCAGCATCGTGGGTGGTCGAGCATTGCACCCAAGCAGCATTTGAGGACGAGCACAAGACGAGAATTTGCAAAGTTCCTGATCCGAGCTGCAGCTGCTCCACCAGCCGAGAGGGCAGCCTTGACTCGGAGATTTGCTTCTCTTCACCACCGCCACAACACCAGGATGTGGTCGGAGGGTCAAGCAACCATTTCCTGGATTTCGGGATCGATCATCACCAGCAGCATCATCCACACCTCATCAACCTTCTCTCGGACCACGAGTGGATCAACTTCTTGAGATGGAGGTCGTGGCAAATCGAGAGCAGCAGCAGCAACAGCGCCGCCGCCATGCCAGTTGAATTTCCTCCCAGTGCCACCGACTTTTCCCAGCTCGAGCTCTTCCCTTCGAATCTGGAACCAGGCCTCTCGCTCCCTCTCACGAGCTTCTCATCTCATCATAGTCACCAGTCGAGCACGGTGCTCGAACAGTTCCCTCAATGCTTGGAGATTCCAAGTGCGGCTACACCACTCTCGTCGTGTCCCACTCTCTACGACGAGGCTGGTTACCAGGACCCTTTCCTCGCAGCCTTCTCCAGCTCCACACTACACCACGCCGTCGATCCGAACAGGAGAATCGACAATGTGGATACCAATCACGCGCTCGTGGCAAGCAATCATCCCGGAATCATGACTCCTTGTTCCACGGATCAAGGAGACAAAGGAATAATCAGTGGCAAGAAAGCCAAGCCCAGCTCCAGCAGCACAAGTGTTTCCAACGAGAGCGTCAACAGATCTTCCGTGGTGGACGGCCCCCGGAATCCGAGAAAGAGGAGAGCTCTGGAGGATCGTCAAGACGCGGCATCCAGCAAGCAGCAAAAGAAGATTGGATCGTCGTCTTCGTCGCCAGCGTGGGCGATTGATGCAGCGGTGGCGTTGGGCTCACAAGAGCCTATCATTCACATCAGCCACGGAGGAAGAACTACTCCCCACGATCATGAGCTCATCTTGCAGCAAATCGCCGCGGCGTCGAGTAGCAGCGGGAAAGCACCACGGGTTCCAGCGCTCAACACCAATTTCAAGCCTCGAGCCAGGCAGGGAAGCGCCAATGATCCCCAGAGCATCGCTGCTAGAGTAAGTTCACACACACACGCTCACACAAGCTTGATATCCAAGGCTTTTGCTGCGCAGCATCGCCGGGAGAGGATCAGTGACAGGCTCAAGATCTTGCAAGAGCTCGTTCCAAACAGCACAAAGGTGTGGATCTTCAAAAGATTTTTTAAGATTCTAAGAGTATCTTTTCGTTCTTCTCAGGTTGATCTAGTGACGATGCTGGAGAAGGCCATCAATTACGTCAAGTTCCTCCAGCTGCAAGTTAAGGTCGGTGCTAGTTGACTTTTTCTGGTCTACAATGCTTGACTCTTTTCCAGGTGCTTACGTCGGACGACTACTGGCCAAGTGGCGCCACGTGGCAGAACAGCAGTAAGGCTGACACAGCCCTATAACAACGTCTTTGGATGGTCCTCCTTCAAACGAAATAGTTTGTGGGGCATACCATTATCTTTCTTAGTTGAAATCCGAAGGATAAGAGAATTTTTCTCCATTAATCGATCCATGACTCACACTCTTTTTCATATTGTAAATCCTTAATGTTGTGCTTTGAAGAACGCAACATGGTACCTAGTGGTAAATTTTACCATGTAATGATCCTCTGAATCAAAGGTTTTCCATCCTCCAGGACGAGCTCAATGGCATCCATGAAACATCATCTCGAGCAATGTTCCGGCCGTCACGTGTCCTCTACCGGGAGAAAACAAAAAAAGAAACCTGTGCTACCGCATCGACTGCTGGAGCTGGATCACCTGCTGTAACTGGACAACCTGTTGGCGTTGATCCGGCGGGAGAGAGTTGATCTGCTCCGGTGTTAGATTCATAACCTGTTGAAGGAGGTGCTGTTGCTCCACCTCCAGTGGAAGAGGCTGTGAGAAAAGAGAGATTTTGGTAAGTTTTTCTTGTAGGAGAAGAGAAAACATCGATCTTACCTGCGGTGGCCCTTGCATTTGCATCTGTCCGTAAACTGGACCTCCTTCCATGCCAAACGGAGGCTGCTGGAAGTTCATGCCAGGGCCCCGTCCTTGCGCGGACCCCATGCCAATGTTCATGCTTGGATGCTGGAAAAACACAACACAAAAAACGTTTTTTCTTTCTGTTTTTGCCAGATTACGAAGAGAAACAAGTACCTGAAAAGAATGTTGTGGAGGGGGTTGAAGTGGTAAAGGCGGCTGGCCTTGAGACTGGAAAGGCATGCCCATGCTAAATTGAGGCTGATGCTGGAAACAGCAGACGAACGATCAATATTCCACCAAAAAAAAGAACACGACTTTCTGGAGGAAGAACATTTACCCCGAATGGTGGACCTTGGAAGTTCATAGATTGAGCTGGAGCAATTGGTGGCATTGGAGGAGGTCTGGGCTGCTGCGGCAAAGGTGGCTGCTGAGGAATCCCACCCGGTTGCTGCGAGTACGCCGGAGGAATAAATGTGGACGGCGGAGCAGAGGCCGGAGGAAGCGGCGGCTGCCTCGACTGCGGCAGTCGGACCATTCCCAGCATTATTTGGGCCTGCAACACACAGCTGAATGTCAGCTCACGACTCGAAAGGTCTCAAAAAGGAAAGAAGGAAAGGGCCTCTTTAAACAAAACCTGGAAGAGAGCTTTTGTCAATGAAGGATGAGTTATTAGTAGCTGGCGAGCCTGCTGCTGGTCATGTTGAATGAGTTGCTATAACACAAAAGCCGCCAGGATTTTCACTTCGTCAAGCAATACTACGCGGAAACAGCGTACCTTTAATTGAACCATGGTCTCGTAAAGTTGCTGCTTGGACATGGTTGCGAGATGGCTGGTGAGAGCATCGTTCCCAGGGAGGTTACCACCGTTTTGACCACCTTGAGTGGCCATCAATGGGATCTGGGAGCCCAGTGCTCCAGCCATAACACCGGCAGCAGCAGCAGCGGCCGAGAATCCTATAGCATCACCTGCGCGAAACGAATCAGAACAAAAAAAAGACGCGTTTTTATTATCATAAGATCTTTTACCAGGATTGTTTGCCGAGCCACCCCTTCCCTGTAAGCAAAAACATGGTTTTTAACTCAGAGAGACGAAGGGAAAAGTTCCTTACTTGGTCCCTGTTTCTATCGCCGCCGCCGCCGCCACCACCACCGCCACCGCCGCTGCCTTTCTCGTTCTCGGCGAAATCGACGCGGAGCTGGCGGCCGTTTAGATCATAGCCGGAGAGGTTGCGTCGAGCGCTTAGCGCGGTCTCCTCGTCCCTAAACTCACAAAAGCCATAGCCCTTTGGCTTGCCAGTTTCCCTGTCGGTTACCAATCTGGAGAGAAAAAAGAACTTCCAATCAGTTCCCAGCTCAAAGACGCGCAAAGTCATAGATCCTAAGCTTCACTAGAGAGCTGCAAGCTTTCTTCTTGGGCTCAATCAAAGAGAAGAAAGAAAAACACAAGTGTGGTCTTTGAATCCATAGGCAACACTGTACACACGCTCTAGATAAGACACTAGAGACACAAGGAACCAAGAGCGAAGGAAGAACGCGAAGGATGCGAAGAACAAGACACCGCAAGAATAGACCAATAAGTCATATTGAAACGAAGTAGTGTCGCGTATACAGCGGTAGGATCTCCAACAAAAAAGAGGATGAAAAACCACTGTGTGTAGTTCTGACGCACCGAAAGGAAACCACTGGGCCGACCTCCTCGCAGATTTGAATGAGCTGCTCCTCTGTCGCGTCGTAAGGGATATTGCCGACTGCCACACCACAAAAACCCCCAATCAGGGCGCTGCTCGCGGCGAAATGGGAGAATGGAGGAGTGAAAGAATCGACGGCCGCCGCGGGCGCACTACTCACCAAAGACGCACCGATGCTGCGAGCTACCCATTGCTACGCAGGCAATCCAAGAGCATCGCTCCTCCCGCGATGGCGCTGCCGCTGCCGCTGGGCCGCCACAAACCCTAGAATCCCTGCCCTAGAAAATGGTTCTTCGTCAAACTAACCGAGGTGGGTTTTAACTAACGGAGCCGCCGGCGGTGGCGGTTGGTACGGTAAAGTCCGGGCGCCGGGGAAGTACGGAAGGTCGTCCAAGAACGCGTTGGAGACGAGGACGTAGGGCGACGACTTGGCGGTGTTGAGCTCCAGCGCTGTTCTGGCGACAGTCCCGGATTTTTCTATGGTTCCTGGATTGCGGCTGCTCTTGCAAGCGCTCAGCAGTGCCATCCATGGCACGGGCAATCGGGCAAAGGAGCTGCTGAGAACGATCCTCTCGGCCTGCTCGATCAGCCCAGCTCGCCCAAACAGATCCACGGTGCAAACGAGATGGTCTATGCCCCACACCAATCCGTAATCGTGGTGCATTGAGATGAAGAAACTCCAGCCTCGTTTCACATCGCCCGAGTGGCCGAGAGCGCTTAGAAGGGCCAGGAAGGTCACCTCGTTTGGAAGGACTCCATCCATGGCCATCTTGTGGAAGCTTGTCACAGCGGACGAGAGATCTCCGGCCTGGACGTGAGCTGCGACGAGAGAGCTCCACGAGACAACGGTCCGGGATTGCATCCGATGGAGAGTTTTTTCCGCCTCAGCAGAGCAGCCGCAGCTCCCATACATGTGGATGATCGAGTTTCCAACTTCGAGGTGGTGTTGCGAGTGATCTTCCGCTCCGGGGGCCTCGAGCAAGAAAGAGTGAACGAGTCGGCCTTGCCTAAGAGCGGAGATTCGAGCGCAAGCATCGAAAACACTGATGAAAGTGCACGCGTTTGGATGGATTCCTTGTTGGTCCATCATGGCAAGCATGATCAAAGCACCAGCTCCGGCGGATTCGCTCTGTGCGTAGCCACCGATCATCGTGTTCCAAGTCACGGTGTTTCGATCGAGATCCATGGCGTCAAACGTATTCTTGGCTTCCTGGAGACGACCGTTTCGAGCGTACGCTGAAATCATGCTGTTCCACGAGATCACATCCCGGTGGCTCTTGCAAATGGAGGCAAAAGTCTTCCTCGCCTCGGAAACTCTCGAGTGTTTCCCGTACATGTTGATGAGCGCGTTCATCACTCCAACGCTTGCCTCCCCCTCGCAGCTTAGAACAACAGCGTGGACGAACCGGCCGTGAGAAATCTCCTCCATTGAAGTGCAAGCCTCGATCGCTGCCATGAAAGTCACACTGTTGGGCCTTACACCTTCCAGATTCATCGTCCAAAACAGTACCAACGATTCTATCGGTCGTCCAGACCGAGAAAACGCTCCAATGAGCGAATTCCACGACACTGTGCTCTTCTGAGGCATTTCCTCAAAGACCATCCTCGCTTCCCGCAGATGCCCTGCACGGGCATACCCCGCAATCATCAAGTTTCCCGAGAAAACATTCTTCCTGGCAATCGCATCAAACACGGAGCATGCATCGCGGATCCTTCCGCACTCGGTATACATATGGAGGAGAAGATTTGCAAGAAAGGTGTCGCTTTCAAGCCCCGCTCGCTGGAGTGACGAATGGATGAGCTTACCCAGGCGGAGAGATCGCGAGGAGCAGCATTGGCGGAGGAGAGATGAGTATAGCGGCGATGCGTCTTGTATACCGCACCTCTCAGCCCATCGCAGCGCGATCATAGCCTCCTTTTCATCCATATTGGACAGATCAAAAAGATAAAAAAAGCGTATGGGGATGCCAGGAATTGAACCCGGGATTCTTTTTGTCACACTAGAGAAGATTACCACTACATCCCCTTTGAACAACGATAATTAAATGTTAATAATATTGTGTAATATAATAAATATCCTTCCCTGAGAGTTACTGGATAAAACCTCACATGGGTGGTGAAAGTCCATGATAGTAGCACACACAACAACATGCTAATCGTTTTCAATAAAATGTAAGAGGTATTTACAAAGTCATAAGTGTTGCTATTGTTAAAAGCATGTAGCTCTTCAGTGGAGTATTTGCTACCATCTCTATATCCCCCTTCATCACCGCCACCTTGCCATCTGCATGTCCCTCAAAATGCCCTTTGTGGTCCATGTGACTTCAAATAGTTGTTGTTGTTGCATTGAATGAGGGTTTGCAAGTTGCAAAATTTATTATTTATTATAATATATAATCTGTAATCAAGCTAGTCATAGAGAAAACCTGAAAAAAAATTGGAATAAACAATCACAAAGGGAAATATTGTTTAGCAATTCACCTTGAATCACCCTTGTATCCTCCTCACAGCTTGTTCAACGTCTCCAGCAAGCTCTCGTTAGCTCAGAGGGCAGCGGCATGCCAGAACCTCTTCCCTCCCCATCTGACACATGCTCTTGAGCTTGACTTCCATGTAACGAAATATGTCCAAAACACCATCACCCCTTGCAATGTCCTCGATCTGCCCATTCCAATCCAGAGGTGTAAGCGCCTGGATCACACCATCCTTCCATCCCTATTACCTTTCTAATAATGACGGTGCGATGGCTCAGATGGATCAGACAACCGACGGTGACGATTAACTACTCACCGTTTCAAACATGCATGAATCGGTCCTGGCCAGGAAAGAAAAACTCTGGAGAAAGTACAACATTTGTTGTAGCCGTGCACCATTAATCGTGGTACACCGGGCATAAGTGTAGTTGCAAGTGTAGACGAGGATCGGCCTTGAAGCCATTCTAGGAGTGGTACAAGTCAACATCTGTCAAAGACGATCTTAGTGTTTTGTTGTTGCACCTCTGCATTGTGACACTGGTGAATGAGCTCTTTCCCCAAGAACTTTGACCAGTTTCCCTGGTTTTTTCAGGGACATGGAATAAACACAACCCCTAAATGAGAACTTCTCTTTGAAAGATTGCCGCACAAATAGCCCACTAATTACTCTCTTGCCATTGTCATAATCTATGTTGATATCTTGTCATCACATATTTGTTTTGTGATCTTAAAGCAGCTCTGACAGCCAAACCTGGGAGAAATTTAGTACTACCAGAAGACACCATTCATGATTCTTCACAAAGAGAGTTTAAATCTTTTTTTTATATACTCAATTTACTAAAACATTAATAATAAAGAATTGAAAGAGAATGTTTAGTCAACGATTAAAGAATATCCTAGAATATATATAGAATTTTTAAGAATTTTCATTTGGCGTAGAAAAAGATCTCTTTAAGCTTTGTTTTTCCGTTGCGAAAGAAAATGCCGGTGGAGAGGAGGACGAGCATCGGGTCTTGTTCATCCACGGGATCGAATGCCCTGGCTGTTCGGCGAGATCGGCGCAGGAGGCAGCCAAGCTGGATGAAGTTCTTTGGGCCGGAGCACCTCCAAGAACGCGATTGCTGGTTCGCTGTGCACAAGATCAACAGCGGCGGGCTGGATTCGCTGGCTGTTCACAACGCCGTTTCCAAGGCCTGCTTCAAGATACCCCTGTGTGGCTCTTTAGGTCGTCTCGGTGGAAGTGGAAGCGATCACACCTTCACCAGTGCCAACAGTGGCCTTGTTTGTACCTTCAGAGGACAGAGGTACTTGAACAATTGTCTTTCTGTGATATTATTGTGTAGTTCTCGTCCACTCTGTTCCTTCTCACGGATGATTTCTTCAGGTTTAGTCTGATGCACGTCTTCAATCCTTTCAAATCGGAGGAGTTCCAAGTGACTATCCCACCCAAGACCGTCATCTACACCGCAGCTATTGTTCCCAAGGCAAGCAGCTCAAAAGAGTTCAGGGTGGTAGCAATGGCCGAATTCGGTGAAGTCACAGGTGTTTATATATACGAAAGCGGGACAAAGGTGTGGAGGAGGTCCTGGGAGTTGGAGTCGCTGCAGTACCTTGAGTTTTATCCGTGCAATGTCACGGTTGGCAACAGGTTCTGCTTCTTGGTGAAGAGTGGCAGAGACGGGTATCTGAGGGTCATGTTCTACGACATGGAAGGTGAAGCCTTGACAGATTCACAGCCTGGGTTTCCTGCGTCGTTTGGTCAGGTTGGTGTGGAAGAGTACGCGGAAAGCATTCGCATTGTGGAGCCCAATCTGTTCCTGTGCAAAGGCAAGCTGACTGTGGTGGATACCGTTGTGACTGGCTCACCGTCTTCTGGTCGCGACGAGGATGAAGATGAAGAATACTACCCGATTACTCGGAAGTGACTATATGGCAAATGGATGAACAGACTCACAAGTGGGAGACAGTTGCAAAGATGCCAGATGATTTATGGCGCAAGCTTCACGTCGGCTGTGACATGTATTCCAAGCTCAAAGTTTGTGGAGCCGGCAAGTTTGTCTTCATGCAGTTTGTGCACTGGACTCCGTGGGAACATCGTGCGGCCGATGAAGACGCTGTAATTTGCAACTTGGACACTTGGGAAGAACTCCCTCCAAAACCACCCACAATCATGTTCAGCCGGTGCCTGGATGTTCTTGTTCTGGATCCAGACCAGTCCTTTGCTCTTTGAGTTACGTTAACGCTATAGTTTCCTTTTTATGGGGTATGCACAGTAGGAGAAGTGGGAGGCAAAATCTGAATTCGATGAGGTTTAATCCATCGATCTGCTAGGCACAATCACTGTACACATGCGACTCCGAGATTCATGCACAGTGACAGGTGCTTGCGGTTGCTGAATCGGCCTACTAGAAAGCCATGCACAGGCAATCGTGATTGAAATCGCATACGTATGTAGACAGGAAAAGGCAGTGGTATCATATAAGATTTAGTTGGGGTTTTTCTGTTTTTCTCGGTTATAGTGGGGGATATTCGGCTTGGAGGGGGTGCGCCTTGGTTCTAGGAGAGAGGGGACCGTTTTCTAAGCTGTGGGAGTGAAGGGAGCGGAATAAAGAGTGTAGATGCTTCGACTAACAGCCTTGGAGCGCGTGGAGCAGAGGTTGGCGGTGCAGCTGTGTTTACAAACATTCAAAGAGTGCATTCGACAAGGATCTCTCGAGACCAGCAGATTTGTGTTCATTGTCAACTTGTGGACAGCCTTGGGTGAGGTTTCTGGCAGAAGGCTACGGACGAGCAGTACCTCTTGCTGCAAGGAGCAACATCTTTTGGTGTACTGCCCAGGCCTCCCTTGCATGGTATCACACTATTGCCGAGTTTCTAGCTGCGGGTGGTGAGGAAATGGCTCCTCTACCAATCTTGAGATTGCGGAAAGACTGTATAAGGAAGGGCGTGATGGGGTGGAACAAATATTGGTGGCCAACTCTTCAACAGGATGAAGTTTATACAGAGCTCTGATCCATGCTAGTGTATTAGGTGTCCTACTTAGTGAGATGCAATGCCCTTGCATCCTATAATTCCAACTCTACCTTTTGAGATGTGGGGAATTGATTTTATATGGGACTATTTCAACCAACATGACATAGGAGGAACCACTATATCCTGGTATACATGGATTATGTGACTGGAATCTTCCAGTCATATTAGATTTGTCTAACATCAATGCAAGGAGTGGTATAATTGTCATTTATGGGCTAAGAGTTTTCAGACAAAAGATTTCATACTGCTATATAAAGTAAATATTAGAAGTTGGCCAGCAAACTCAAAATTTGTTGGATTGGCCCATACCATGTGAAGACCAAGACCATGAACACCAATGGTTTGGTGGAGCTTGAGGGTTTCAGTGGTAATCCTCTTTGAACACCAGTGAATGGAGTTTAACTTTAGTATTATCACATTAGATTTGGAGAGGAGTGCTTTAAGGACATTGCACAGTCGTCGCCAGGGTGATGTCAAGGGCCAAGGTCAGCTCAAAAATAAGACTTAGTCCAAGTTGGGGGCTTTCCTTGAGCTGGCTCTAGCCCCACTTGGCAACGAATGTGTGATGCCTTTAGAGCACTCCTTTCCAAATCAAATGTAAGTTTCCATTCACAAAGAGGATTACTATTAAAATCCTTAAGCTCCACTGAACCACTAGTGTTCAAAATCTTAAAATAATATGGGCTAATTTAATGAATTTTTGTTGCAAATGGTATGTTGGTAAATCCTCTTGAATATTCTTTCTTTATTATCATAATGGCAAGAGCTTGGTATTGTTAAACCGAGCTTAGAAAGTTTCAAAACAGCGTGGAGTGGTGACCACAATTTCAGAAAGGAGATCTTCTATGAAAGGAAGCTTTATTTTTCATGTTGATTAATGTTTTTTTTTCCTATTTAGAGTTCTGTTAGTGAATTACAATTGTGTAAGTGAAGTTGCTGCGAGTTCAGATCTCCTATGAAGTAAGCTTCTTCTTTTTTGGTTCTTTTTTAGAGTTTACGTGAGCAAGTTGCTGAAACTGAATTTGTATTTTATTCTTGACAGCATGACACATTCGAGGTTCTTTTTTTTTTGGAAAAGGTGAAGCTACAGCCTGTGTAAGTTCAATAGGGCGCTGTTGACGAGCTCCTCGAGGCTGTTGGAATGCTTGGTAAGTCCCACAAAACCCGAAAACGTTAGGAAGTTTTCTTCGTCTGAGGCAGTCGCTAACATTGCTTCCAGGGACGCCTCCATTTCACCGTCTTCTCTAAAACGTCGCCAGAACCTGGCGTCCTTTTCCATCAAGCTGTTCAGAAGCTCTACGCTATATCGCCGGATACGATTCAAGCTCCTAGAAGGTGCTGTCTGGGATAGAAGCTCTGTGATTTTTTCGCAAAGCCGTGATTGTTGCGATAGCACGCCTTGTGCAAAGTCACGTGTGTC